TGTTGAGTTCTTCCCAGCCAGCCTTGGCCCACTCTGCATCCTCACCCAGTCCAGGAAAGGAACGTCCAGGCTCTCTGTTCCTTGTCCCCAAGGGTCTCTGTGGGACTTGGATCTGGAGTTCATATGCACCTTGGTCCTCACCAGGAGGACCTGGACACAGCCTGGCCTCAAGGAGCGGGTGTCTCCCAGAAGTCCCCCGCCTGTCTGCTACCCTGCTGCCTGGGTCACCCCCCATACCCACTGCCGGTTGGGGGGCCATGCTGCCCACACCCCTGCCCCAAGCAGTTGTTCCCAGCACAGTAGAACAGTCCTCTGGCCTTGGCCTGGATGAGTCAGCTGCCCTCCCTTCTCCGACCAGGAACCTGCGGCGTCTGGAAAATCCCCCTCCCTGCTTGGCTCCTTCCTCTCTGGCTCAGGCCTGCCGTCTGGACCCTTCCTCCCGGCCCCTCCAGCTGGCTCCAGTGCCTGCGTGAAGTACTGGGTTCCTCTGGGAGGAAGTCGGGCTCCCTCACAGCCAGAGATGGGCTGCATGTCAGGAAACTGGGCTCTATTCCCGCCTTTGACCTTGGAGCTGCCAGTGGCCCTCCTTGGGATATAGGCACACGCTGCACAGGCTCCGGCTGCTGCCAGCTCAAGCACCTGTGGGCCATCCTGGGAGCTGGTCAGACTGGGGATGGGACAGACCTGGGCTTCCTGAGCAGGCATAGGCCTCACAGGCAGCCTGGGGGCCAGCCCCAGCCCTCCCTCCTTTCCTGGTCAGCAGGAGGCTGGGGTGGGGAGTCTGGAAGTTTGGGGCTCACCTGTGATCTTGGGCAAGTTACTTCTCTGAGACATAGTTCCCTGCTCTGTGAAAGGGGGCCATTCACACCTGCTCGGCTATCTTAGGGGGTCCAGTGGCAGTGAAGTTAGGGAAATGCTCTGTAACCTCTGAAGTGCCGTGTGGTTGAGAGGCTTTGTGAGAGTGACTCTCAGTGACCTCCGGCAGCCCTGGCTCATCCCACAGCCCTGGTCACAGAGGCAGTATGGCCCAGCAGTAAGAGCTTAGACACTGGGACCAGACCATGAGCGTTCACATCCCAGCTATGTCACTGCTAGATCTTCACCCTGACTGCTCCATTTCCCCATCTTTATGGTGGGGCTGTTTAACACCTATAACCTAGGTTAACCCGTATAAAAATCCTTAAAGGAGTAATTGGTGCATAATGAGTGCTCAATAAATGTTAGATCTTTTTATTCCCCAAGTACACTGGTCTAAATTCAGGTTCCCTTCTATGGTCGAGTCTCAGGCTCCTTTGGGCTCTTTCTGGGAGCCTTTTGCACTCTAGCTTGTCACCTCTCTCAGATGTGAAATACATCTGCTAGAATCTTTTGATCTTCAGCTTTTCACAGGTGAAGTCTCTGCTCTTGCTGGCTTGGCCCTCAGGGCTGCAGGCCCTGATGTGACCCAAGAGCCTCGGGCCCTGGGGGGGCACTGCAAGCAAGGCAGGCTGGCATGTGAACAGGCCCATTTCCCTGGAGCCCCTAGGGTGGAAGGGCGTCTGTCCAGGCCCCGACATGCTCTGGATTCTTTCTCCCCTGTCACTGCAGATATTTTTTTCCAAGTTAGAGCTCACTTTGTTTTTCTTGTCCAGTCCTGAGCCGCTCCCCTCACTCCACAGCTTTTCCCTCTCTGGACCTTGCTGACCACCAGGGTTCTTCTTTCCAGACTGCAGTGTCTAGGGGGTGCCAGGAATCTCGATACCCCATGCATGTCCCTCATGGCCTTGCTTGCATAGGGAGGGGAAGGGTGTGGCAATGACCCAGAGAGAGAGCCCTCTGCAGATTGGGAGAATCTAAGCCTGCCTCACTAACCTCCTCTGCCCAGTGTCAGTGCCCCTACGCCGGCCCTAGCCTCACACTCCCCTTAGGACCCACCCCTGACCCTGAGGGAACTTTGCCCTCTACCCATAGCCAGAGACAGAGGGAGAATCCCTGGTAGGGGGTTGGTCCTGTGGCTCTTAAGCACTGAGTGTTGGAGTCCCCTGAGCATGTCATACTCCAATCTTCTTGCCTGGGGTGGGAGAGCCTAGCTCTGGGGCTCTGAGAAGGGGCAATCTGTATTTCTCACCAGGTTCTGTAGGTGCTAAAGCTTACTCCTGAATACAGACCCTGTGGGCATGGCCCAGAAGTCCACTGGCAACCCAGGACAGGGCTGAGCATTTGTCCAGAGGGAAAGGGTGGTAAGAGAAGGAACAGGAGTGGGATTTGCCCAAGGATTGTCGGGGGAAGGGGCTTTAGGCCATAGCAAGATGTGGGCAGCACAGACCTCACACAAGGCTTGGTAGCACTGCAAATGCTATGGCCAAATGACACCCAGCTTCTGCCTCCAGAGAGCTCCCAGCCTAGGGAGGGAGGTTGTGCATAGACTGCATGGGGGTGGGTGGTACCTCCAAAGAAAGTCATCTTCAGGAAGCAGCTAGAATTAATAGGTGATGAGTTTTTTTATATTAAATGAAACTTTATTTGAAAAATACTCTTAAGATTGTAATGCTATGCTTACTTGGATAAGGGAATTGTATCAGTTAAATAACAGTAGCTAAACTTAAAAGAGAGAAATCAAAATTAGCTCAAAGACAGAAACACCTGCAGAGCTGTGCCATGGCTGTGGGTGGTCAGGACCCGGCTGCCGCGAGCTGAGTCACACCTGCAGGTCACCCCTGAGCCCTGGGGCCTCACAGTGACATTCTCCTCCTTCTTGGGGGTGCCTGAGGATTCAGGGGATCCTGGGACAGCTTGTGGCCTCCGTGGGCTGCAGGTGGAGCAATAGGAGCAGAAGGGCCACTTGGGAAAGGCTGCAGGTGCGCCTGGGCATCAGCCAGCATTTGTCTGATGCAGTCGCCTTCTCTTAGCTTCATGAGGTCTCCCTCAGTCTGCATGGCTGTCTCCCAGCTTTTCTGAGCCCTTTTCTCACGCAAGAGGAACTCCCTTTGGTAGAAGGACCTGACTCTCCAATTCTTTGCCCATGTCTTTGGCTATCTTGTTGCGCCGCTGGAGAATCTGAAACTTGGACTTCCAGTTTCTGCACAAGTTAATCAGTTTCTTCTCAATTCCTGCACACCTCTTTTCCTCCTTAGCGATTGGGCTCTCAAGTTGCATGGTACGTTCTTGGTGTAGTTCAAGCAGATTCTGGAACTTCAGCTGAAGTAGTTGACTTTCCAGCTGTAGGATTTCACCCCTCAAGAGATGTTTCCTCTGCCTGGAGGGTGGCTGTTCGTTTTCTCAGCTCTTCTTTGACTTGCTTCTGTTCCCTCAATGATCTGGCTCTCTCAGGGCTTTGAGGGGACACAGGGGAGTCAGCATTGTGCGTGTGAGCCTTCAGTGCCACTTCTGACCCGGGGATGCGGTGTTCGCAGTTTCCAGCTTCCCGCTTTTGCTTGACTTCCAGGCTCCCGCCGACCAGGCAATGTCTCGGGGGCACAGGGGTTGCGTGGAGCAGGGTCCCAGCCACTGACGTCGGCTGACTCCCTCTTTCAGGTCCTCTTCCACACGTGCGTTCGACCGCAACGGGCCTTCCTGCTCCTCCTCCTTTTCCTTCAGCTTCTGCCTGCATCGTGCAATGTCCTGGGCAAGGACTTCTGCCCTTTCTGGAAAAGCAGTGTTTCCTTTCCGATCATCCAGCATTTTCTTCCCAAGTTGTTCTCCATCCTTCTGTGATGCCCTGAGGGTCGGTGTCTCATCAGTGGCCTTGGGAAGTGTAGGAGGCTGGCTCCCCCATCCCTTTGCCAGAAGGCCCAGAGTGATCTGAAGGGACAGCGTCAGGTGTGCGGTCACCGCTGCCAAGCTCAGGCTCTGTAAGGTGGGAGGACTGGCCTCCCCCGCAGGTGGCTGGAGTCGTTCATTCTGCAGTGTCATCACGGTTTCCAGGTACTTCTTGGCAGGCAGAACAGCTTCTGGCCTGAGCCTCGGTGCATCGTGAAATCCATGCTCTCCTTACCGTAAAAAGCATCTGCACACAACATGCCAGGGTCACCAAGGGGACTCCAAGAAGTCCTGTTAGGGATCCGCAGCGCTCAGCCATCACCAGGAGAGCCCCCCACAGGCGCTCCAGGATCAGCTGGCACATGAGTCCAGCGGCAGGGAGCAGGCCCTCCATGGCTGCACGTGCTCCACAGCTCTGCCTCCAAGTGCTGGTGTCTGTGGTCAGAGGGGACGGATCAGAACCCTGCAGAGTTCCCTCGTTCCCTCGCTAAGGTTAACAGGGGCCCTAATAATAGGGCAGGTCAGTTAGGTGGGGGAGGGGAGGCCGCCAGCCAGGTCCTAGAGCACTGCCCTCCCTACCTGGCCCTGCAGCCAACCTGGGTGACAACACAGGGCCAGGCCAGGCCCCTTTCTGGGTGTGAGGGCCAGTCAGGGCAGAGGTGCTGGGCCACGTTCCAGCTGAGGCCCTATCTCTTGATTTTACATTTTCTTCTGCTTCAGGGATTTCCACTGCTGTCCACCAGGGTCCTGGCATCCTCCCTCCTCATGTTGGTCGCTGTGGGTGTCACGTGAACATGTTCCCAGCCACTGTTTATGGAATCCTGGGAACACAAGTCAGGGCACCACAGCCGTGCTGTCTGCTGCTCTACTCAGTAGTGTTCTGGGTTTCAGCGGCACATGTCCCCAGAACGTGCATGTGCCCATACGCCTCCCAGGCGTCCTTCAGGAAGGGGTGGTGGTCACACAGAGACAGGCCTGACTGTGTTGCCTGCCTGTGGACGATAGCTCGGGCCAGCCATGGGCTTGGTGATCCTGAGTCTCTGACTGGGGTCGCTGCTGGAACCTCCACCTGGACGGAGTTGGGGTGGGTCAGGAAGCAAGTTCACGTTCACACCCCTCACTCGGACAGTGTGTGAAGTTCGACTCAAGTAAGTGTCTGAAGTACAGGGATCGGGGAGGACCTGAACACGTGGTCCGCAGCCTTACTCTGCTTGGTACCCCATGTGTGGGTGCCCTACAATGACACCAGTATCATGGGCACCATGGAAATCCAGGTGATGACATTTTACCCATTCATTTATTGAACATAAATGTTGAAAAAGTAGAGATGAATTAATCACAGCCACTGCCTTCAAGGTGCATCCATTCCAATGAAGGTACCGACAATTACAGTGTGAGCCCAGGAGGGCCCAGAGCCCAGCCAGGGAGGGGGCAGAGGCGGCTGGGAAGGGTAAGGAGTCGGGACAGAGTCTCCCAGAGAGTTCTTCTTTAGTCATTCTCATTGATATATAATTACATACAGTAAAATGTACCCATGTTAAGTGTACAGTTCAGTAATGAGAATGAGAAGTGTGTACCCAGGGAACCGCCACTCCAAAAGTTTCCCTTGTGCCCCTTCTCTGTCAGCCCCCCCGACCCCTGGTGCCAGGTAACTAGTGACCTTTCTGATACTGTAGATTAGATTCCCTCCCAGAGTTGCACGTAAGTGGAGGTATATGGCGTGTAGTTGTCTTTTGTGTCTGGCTTCTTTCGCTCAGCATAGCGCATTTGAGGTTCATTCGTGTTGCTGTGCATATCAGTAAATTGTTGCTTTTTACTACTGAGTAGTTAGAGGAGGTGATGTTTAGCTGAACTTTGGAGGATGGCTTGGAGTTAGCAGGATAAACAAAGGGAGGAAAGGCATTCCATCAGAGGGACCAGCGTGAGAAAAGGCCAGACGCTCAGTTACAGGCTGTGTGAGGTTGGGGGATGGGGTGGGAGAGGCGCTGGCCGTCTCCTCACTTTTTTCCTCCTCCACAGGCCTCTTTCCTGCTGCCACTACTTTGTCTAGCCAGTGAGGGCTGGGTTTGGTTTTCATAAGTGAGACCATTTCCTTCTGAGCAGTCTGGGCTCTGCAGAGAGGGCTGAGGCCAGGTCAGGGCCTGAGAGGCTCATGCCAGGCCAGCGGGGGCCGGACGTGAGTTACGTGCCACAGCGGATCTGTGCACACTGTGCTTGGAGGCCCCTGGACTCCACTGGGTTTGTTTTCTTCTGAATTATCTGGTAAAACTCCTTTGGAAGCATCTTGATCTTGTCTAAGGGAAAGAGGCATTCATTACTCATACCAACACCTGAGCAAGGCAGGTGTTATGGCTGCTGGGGGCCCTTCTGCTCCAGCCCTTGGGGTGCAGGGTCTCAGCAGCCCCTCTGGAATGGGAACCAGAGGTGGAGCTTGTGCTGGGCTTAGCATCAGCCTGAGGTCACAGAGTTGACAGCACGCCTGTCCTGCCCCCATTCGCCCCAGCTGCTGGGCTCCACCCACCATCTCTGGGTGCACAGAATGGCTTGTCAGTGTAACCACAAGTGCTGGAGCTAGTTCCTCCAACATGGCTGGAATGTGTTCCCTGTGGCCTGAAGATTTGGAGGCCGGATTGATGCAGAAGGAGCTGGCCAAGATGGCCTCGGGGGAGCTGCTATTGGAGACATCCTCAGTTGACTCACCTTTGATTTCTGCCGCTGTCCCCCTTCTGTGCAGATCCTGGCCACCTTTCTACCTGCCCCTGTCCCCCATCTTTGCCAGCCCAAGTCACCCTTTACCTGCCTGTGTTCCCCTGGCACTAACTCATGTCCTGGATGTACTTTGCCTTCTCCAAAGAAGGAGAGTCATCACTTACCAAAGTGATTTTAATTCTATTGTCTGTTTATTTGAGAATTCATTCAAACCCAGTGAATTAGCAGAGTTGGACTCTGAGGCCTACAGGGGCTAATAGGATTTGGGGAAACTGAGTTAAAAACAGTGGTTCAGCCCCAGCCTGCCTCTTAGGCAAACCATGTCTGACTGAACCACTGGAGGGCTTTGGGATGGGATTCAGGGTCCCATTTGAAGTGAGAGGAAGGGTCCCGAGCTTGGCAGGAGCTAGGGAAGGTGACACGGTTGGCTCTGTGGTCTCTTACAGGTAACTCACGGACTGAGAGCGTATGATGGCTTGTCTCTGCCTGAGGACGCAGAGACGGTTACAGTGGGCCGGGCTGGCTGGAGCTATTCAGATCTTTCTGATGACGAGGACTTGCTGGCTGATGATGCCTCTGGAGGTAAGCAGAGGGTTCCGGTGGCTCGGGGTCAAGGGGATAAGGGGATCTTCCTACCGGTCCTTAAAGAGGCCCTAGGAAGCTAGCCCAAGGTGGGATGGGCCAAGAGCTGTGTGCATCCTGAGCTCTGGTCCCAGTGACCCTAGGATCCTCCACTCAAAACTGTGTGGTCCTAGGCTGGTGGTTGCTCCTCTGTCGCTGCACAAGGTGATCAGGACCAACAGGGAAGGTGGTAGGCAGTGCACGGTAGAGGGCACTTACTGCCCTCATTGCTGGAGGCCAGTCGGACCTGGCCGCTCTCACCCTAGCCAGCAGCATGCAGTCGAGTACCAGGGTTGTGGGGCCTTGGCCTATACCCTCTCGTGGAGGCTTCCAACCTGACTTTTATAGATCAGCCCTCCATAGGCCTGGGGAAGAGATAACAGTTCAGTTCTGTGTTCTCAAGACCTTCCCTACTTTGTGCCAGGTACCCAGAGCAGGACCTGACACTCACTAGGTGCTTTGTTGTTTCTGCATAAGTCTGTCTTTTGCTTACAGACAGCCTGGGCAGCGGGGACGTGGGCAGCGGGGACTTCCAGATGGGTAAGTTGCTGAGAGCATCCTGCAGGTCCCCACCTTGTCCCCTGGGGAAGCCCAGGTCTACCTGGCAACAGAGACCCCAGCTCGGGGGCTGAGAGCCCTAAGGACTCCTTGGGTGTCACATGAGGCTGGTGCCATACCTGCTGAGTGACTGTTATCTGGACCGGTTGGCAAGGGATGACCAGATTTGGGGGTTGCCAGTGCCACAGGGACAAGGCTCAGAGCTGTGGGCAGGAGGTACCCAGTTCTGAGGAAACTAAAAACCAGGTGCTTAGCCTTCAAAGCAAAATTCTCATCGCCGCGCAGCTCAGCCATGGAGTCCTTCCCTAGAGCCCTTCCTGGGATGACCCTGCAGAGCTGGAGACCCCAACAGGGGTGGACAGACAGAGAGGCCCTGGACATTCAGGCAGGCCTACAGAGCTGGCAGGGGTAGGTCAGCCCCACCCTGGACCTGGGAGGGAGCCCTGTCTTAGGTCGGGTCACCTGCCGGGCAGACAAGGGTTCCTGGGTGGGGGAAGGAGGGCTGGGCTTAGTGGAGGGGAAGGAGTCAAGTCTCTATCAGCTGCTCCCTCTGCCATCACTCCAAGTGCCCAGCTGGGGCCGGCTCAGTGCCAGGATTGGGGCTCAGAGTCCCTGCTTCCTTCCACCTCGGGATTCTGGGTAGAGGAGGAACTGCCCATTGACAAGACCTGGTGGCTCGTATTGCTCCTGCGTCCCTGTCTGAGAGCCGGCACTGAGCACCCTGTGGTCAGGGCCAAGATGGAGCTTGGCTCAGGTTGACCACTGGGTGACACCGCTGCATCTAGAGCTGCTCACACTGGCAGCCCCGGGGCCAGTCTGGCCTGGCCTCTCCCAGCCTGGGTTCATCTCCCTTTGGCTGGCATATCAGGGGCATCAAATGCCAGACAGTGGTGCTCTACCTGGGCAAGTACAGACAGGAGGGATGGCCTCTGGGTAGCCTGGTCCTGACTGTGACCTCCCAGAACTTGAGATTCAGACACAGCCTGAAGGTTTTCCACGTGCAGGGCTCTACACGGTCCAGGATGCCTAGGAGCTGGGGGTTTGGGGGCTGGGAGTGGATGTCAGGTGGGACCCATATACACACCCCATATCCTAGAATAAATCCCTGGGAGCTGCCTCTTGCTAAGCCAGGCCTGCCTTCTGAGGCCCTGGTTTTGTCCATGTTGTCCATTTGGAAAGTGAGGCTAGGCTGCCCACTGCTGCAGCTCTGAGTAGTCCTTGCCAGCCCACCTCCCCATCCTCCAGCCCCCCGCAGAAGCCCCTGTGAGGGCAGGAGAGGCCAGAGGTGGGGAAGGGGTGGGGGTTGGGGAGCAGGAGCCGGGAAGGGCCTGAGAGCAGGGTGGGGGCCTTTCCTGTGAGTGGGGCCAATCTGTGGGAAGATGCAGGGCCTTAGACCCTCCAGGCCCAAGCTCTGGCATGGGCCCACTGTCCTTGGGGCAGGACCAGGCAGCTGGGCTGAACCTGAGCTATGGAGGCAGCAGGTGTGTCTCTGATTCCCAGGATCTCAGTGTGCCCACTGCAGCCTTGCCCAGTGGCGGTCCTGCACTGCTAAGCAAGGGCCATCCTGACGATGGTGGGGCCAGCCTGGCTCTGCCTCTTGCCTGGGCGCCGGCCCAACCCCAGATCCTAGAATCGAGCCCCAGAATGGCACCTACCCTACCCTCTTCCTTGAGGCGGGCTATGGCTCCCACAGGCTCTGCCCCAGCCCTGCCCCTGTCTCTCGTGTGCCAGCCCCCTACCCTGGTTCACAGCCCCCGGCTCTGCCTCCCATCCCTGGGACCCCTGTCCCTCACCCAGTTTCCTTCCATCTTCTGACCTGTCTTCCCCACTCGTGTCGCCCCTGCGCCAACCCTTTCTCTGTCTGTCCTGCCCCCCTCCTGCCCCGCCTTTCCTCTGTGTCTCTCTCGTCTGGGCCTCATCCCTCTGTGGCCTTCTCCCTGTCCCTGGCCTGCCGTCTCTGCCTCTGTGTCTGCTTGTCGTCCCCTTTCTCTCTTCTGCCTTTGTCTTGTCTTTTCTGTCTCTCATTCTCCCCTGACTTTCTGGGTCTCTGTCTCTGTCTCTGGGTCTCTATCTCTGTCTCCCTGTTGTCTGTCTTTCTCCCCATATCTGTCTCTCCCCATGGTTCTCTCCCCCACCTTTGCCGTCTCTGTCCCTCCTCGCCTCCCTCTGCTGCCCCTCTCCAGGCCCTGCGCTGCCCCCAGGCCACCCTCCTGGGGCTGGCATGATGGTCTTGGGGCCTGGTGAGGGGTGTCCTCTCAGTCAGTGACCTTCATCCCTCCCATCCTCTCTCCCGGCTCATCCTTCCCTCTCCTTTCTCCCTCCCCTTTTCCTCCTCAGCCTGCTCTTTGTCACACAGGAGGCTCAGAGGTACCTCCCTGCAGGGTCTGGGCACCAGGCCCACCACTGCCTGGCCCCAAATAGCCCCACCTTCTCCCTAGCCCCAGCCCAAGATGCAGCCAAGCCCAATCTGGCCACAGTGGGTCTAAACAGAGTGGGGGGCCCTGGTGTTCTCTCCCATAGCGTGCTGGTTTGGCCAAGATGGGTGCAGTAGCCCTCAGGCAGCAAAGCTGTGGAGGTGATATGTATCCATCTCAGGACTGGCTGATCTTGCACCCATCCCAGGGCCCTGGCAGCACCCAGGGCTGGGGTGAGGGGCCTGGGTGTGTGTGGGAGGAGTTTGCTGAGGAGGAACTAGGCAGATGGAGTTGGTGAGGTAGCCTGCTGCAAGGTGGGGAGGAGGTCAGGCGTGAATTCCAAACCCCTGCCTGGGCGCAGGCAGCTCTGGACCTCTGTCCCTCCACCTCTAGCTCCAAGGGAGCTCTCCACACAGGGTCAGGATAAGGGCCGGAGGGAGAGAGCTGGCCAGGGAAGGCACCCAGAGAACACCTCACTCCCAGGCAGCACCACGCTCTGCCACCACCCTAGCTCGGGGAGCTAGTTCCTGAAACAGATGTGGTTTCACCTTCTGCCCCAGCCCTCAGGCTCTGGCTGCAGGGACGCAGCTCAGGGTGGAAGTGGGAGGTGCTCACCCTGACCTGCCCCTGGTCTGGCAGCAGGCAGAGGGTGGGGTCAGGCTAGAAGTCTGTGCCCTTCCCAGGCCCTAGTAGAAAAGGGCTTTGTGGGGCTAGGTCCCCTCCCCCAGGAGCGGGCACATTCCTGGGCAGAGGCCCGGCCTCCTCGCCCGCACGGGGCTGTGGGGCTGAGGCCAGGGGCTGGAGTGGGGGGACTCTCAATGGGCCTCTGTGCCTGCTCACAAGAGGCCTCTGTGGCTGAGCTCACGGCCTGCACAAACCCGCCCACCTGGCACCCTGGAGCCCAGCCCTCACAGTCCCCGTAGTTCAGAGCAGGCAGTGCTGCCTCACAAGCACCCTCTCTTGGGGTAGGAGCCTCCTCCTGCACCTTGCTCAGCACTCCCACCCTCACCCAGCAGTGCTTGCTTAGCTGGCGCCACCGAGGGAGAGGGTCCTGGCTTGGGGGGCGCGAGCACCTGTGAGGCTGAGTGAAATGCAAGGAGGACAGGCTTTGTGGGCAGGTCCAGCCGATGCCACTCCCTGCTCTGCCACCTACACGCCAGTCATCTCTCCCCTCTCTGAGCCCTCTTCTGCCTCAGGGACTCTGCAGCTGCTGTTCCCTCTGCCTGGAATGCTCTTCCCCTTGGCTCCTCTCGGACATGAAGCACCCCAATTGACGTGGGTCTTCACTGGCTACTCTGAGGAAGTAGCAGACCACCCCACCCCCTCGTGCCCTCCCCGAGCCCTCATTTTTTCCATACTCTATGTATTCTTTGCTCATTTATTTGCTTTCTCTCCCACTAGAAAGTGATGGGGACAGTAACTGTCATTTGTGGAGTTGACTATTATATCTCCTGCCCCTAGAACACTGCCTAGCGTATAGTAGGCCTTCAGTATAGATTTGGCCAATTAAAGCTAACCTATGCAGCCCCAAGAATGCACCAGAGAGTTATAAGTCAAGAGTTTGTTAAGTCACTTAATCCTCACAGCAGCCCTCTGGGGTAAGCACTACAATCCCCATTTTTCAGATGAGGAAGTTGAGGTTCAGAGAGGTTAAGTAATTTCCTCGAGGTCACACTGCTCTAAGTGGCAATTTTATTCCAGAGGCTAAGCCTTTACTCACTAAGCTACACCGATCTCATGTAGTAATAGCTCATGTTATACCATACCCTGTTCTAAGCACTTGTACATATTTAAACTCATTTATAACTCATTAACTTAGCACTTATAATTTACTCCTAAATTCATGAACATTATAAGATTTGATACATAAAAAAACCTTGTATATGATAGGTGCTCAAGAAGTGATGTGTGTGTGTACACCAGTCTTTGTATGCCACAGATATATGATATAGATTGACTCAGCTTCTATTATGTGTCGTACTCAGTTCTAAGTACTGTGTGTGTGTGGGTACGTGTATATATGATGCTTTTACAACTCATACTAACTTGTATTCATAACTTCTATATGAACTCATGGACACTGTGAGATTTAATGTGTATAAAATGTCTTATATATAATAGGTACTTAAGAAACAGTAGTTTGTATGTGTGTCCTCATACTAATCTGATGTGAATTCATTCAGCCATCACTGACTAGGCACCTACTATGTGCCGAGCACTGCACAGCACTGGTGATACACGGGGAGGGAGATCCACGGTTCCTCCCTTCCCCAAGTTCAGAGCCTAGAAAGGTGACAACAGCTCGGAGTCTCTTACACTTGCTCCTTGCTGGGTGCTGTACCTAGTGCTCTGGGAGATGGTGCCTGTGAGCACCGTATCATCTATTCCCTCCAGAAACCCAGTATGGTGAATGTAGTTGATTCCACGTTTGACATAGGAGGAGACAGAAACTCGGAGAGGTGTGGTCAGTGCCTGAGCTGAGGCCTCAGAACTGTGATTTTTACTATAATGCTCTATAGTCCGTATGTAAGTAGGCAGTTTCTATGCAGTGTGGGGTGGAAAGTGCTCTGATGAGGAAAGCAGAGGGTCTGGGGGAGACCAGAGGAAGGGTCTCTAACCCAGCCAGGGTCGGGGAGAAAGGCAGTTCAGGTAGTCTTCTTGGAGGAAGACCGAGCGGAGCCCTAGGCCGAGTAGGAACTGGTCAAGGAAGAGTGGGTCCAGTCATTCGTGAGTAATCCCTGTGCCAGCCAGTCCAGCCTGCTCTGGAAGCCACTTCTTGTCCAGCCTACCTCTGAGCTGCTGGGGGTCTCCTCTTCTGCACCATCACTTGGTTTCTGGATTGGACTTCTTTCCCTGTTAGTCAAAGCCCTCACTCAAGGGTAGGCCTCAGCTTTGACCTTGGGCAGGCCTCCCAGGTCTGCTGTAACAGGTGCTCATATGGGCAGTGCCGGGCATAGCTGTGAGCACATAGGTGTCTGCCTGGGCGAGAGGCTTCTGGGGACTGTGCCACTGTGTCTACCACTGGCCAGTTTCCTGAGGCCACCACATGCTAGGCTGGGCCCCTCACAGTGATACTCCCCTCCTTTCTGCAGTTTATTTCCGGGCCCTGGTAAATTTCACTCACTCCATCGACTACAGCCCTCGGCTGGAGGACGCAAGCTCTGAGGCGTTCCGAGAGGTGTCTGAGGCTGTAGTAGACACGGTGAGGTGAAGGGGCTTTGGGGACCCCGAGTGTGGCAGGGCAGGACTGGGGATGGGGTGAAGGTGTCTGGAGGCTGATGGTGCTTGTCCCTCCCCAGCTGGAGTCAGAGTACTTGAAGATTCCAGGAGATCAGGTTGTCAGTGTGGTCTTCATCAAGTAAGAAGGGTCCCCTGGGGGCTGGTGAGGGGCTGGGGGGAACCTGGGGAAGCTACAAGGGTGGGGAGAAGCCTGGGTACCAGGAGGGGAGGCAGGAGAGGCCTGATGGGGAGAATCTCTATTCGTCGGGGAGAATTTGGACCTTCAGTTTCTCTGCTTGGGGTCTAGGGGCAGGACAAGAGTCTGGAGATCTGGCCTGAGCATCAGGCAGGGGCTCAGGGAGAAGCTGAGAGCTTGGGCATCTTCCCCACCCTGTTTCCCTGCCCCATCCTCATCCCTAGGCAGCTGGATGGCTGGGTCTTCGTGGAGCTGGATGTGGGCTCCGAAGGGAATGCGGACGGGGCTCAGATTCAGGAGGTGCTGCACACAGTCATCTCCAGCGGCTCCATAGCCTCCTATATCACCTCTCCCCAGGGATTTCAGTTCCGACGCCTGGGCACAGGTGAGGCCATCCTGGGGCCTGGGGGTACATCCTCCGGTTTCTCAGACTCATGTAGGTCCCCTTTGAATGTCCACACGATGGGATCTCCTAGCTTGGGGCTTGTATCCCACTGGAGACAGGGAGCTCACTATCTCATGAGTCTTCCCTATGCAATCTGGGCTTGTGTTAAGCATAATCTGTTTTCTTTAACATGTCCTCATTAGATTTAATTTATGCTTTCTCTCTCTAGACCTCTATACATTGACAATAGGTAATAATTCCTTTCTTTGTAGTACTTTTGGATGCAAAACACTTTAATGTTTTAACAAAACCCAACAAATGTTTACTGAGCACAGACTATATGCTAGGCTCTCAGTATCTCCGCCATTCTGCTTTTGCAGCAATTCCTGGGTTATTGTAGAGATAGGGGTACTGAGGCCCAGAAAGGAAAACTGGCTTGTCCAAATTCTTATAGGCAGATAATGGAAAAGCCAAAATTTACATCAAAAGCTGTGTCTGTGCTAGTCTTGCCAGAGCCTATGATAAGATGAGAAATAGGTTCAGAGAGAATAGGAAGCTGGCCCAAAGTCAAACAGTTGTTAGATATGAAGGCCTGGCCTTCATACTCTGTGTGGGCCTGGGTTCCTTTTTGCTGCACTCCCTAAGTCTTGTCTTCTCCAGGCCAGACAGTCCTAGGTCGTTCCTCACAGGCTTTGGTTCTCAGCTCCATCTCCATGTCAGTCCCTCTCCCTGGGAAGGCTCCAGCATGTCCCCATCCCTGGCTCAGTAGAAGCCAGAACCGAGCAAACTCTTTCCCCATCATGGTGTAGGGAATCACCTCCCTCATTCTGCACATAAAACCTCAGTTAATGCACCCAAGATCAGGTTTCTCTCTGGGCATCCCCAGGCCCAGGTCTGAAGATTGCTGGGGATCCAGTTCTTTCCTCCTGATTTTTCAGTGAGTCTTCCCAGCCAGGGATGATGGGATGGGCTTGGCTTAGTCCTGCAGTCCACAGCAACCAGGTCCCAGGTGGGATGGTTGCTGATCACACCTTCCTTTACAGCACAGACACCCCCGTCCCCTCTGGGCACTGTGGTGGCCACAGTGACACCAGGTGAGAGTTTAACCAGACCCAGACCCAGCCAGGTATCTGGAGAAGCTAATGGATAGGGGGGAAGGAAGAATGAGGACCAGGCGGCTGGGCATGGCCCATAAGCCACCCCTTCTCTCTTTCCTCTTCATCCTTTCTGGGCCGGGTTGCGGCCTGCATGCGTGTGATGTGGTTGCATGCATATAGCATGTTAACTTGCGTAGGGTCTGTGTAAGGGATGGGTGAGGCTCCTGCCGCATGGCCCATGGTCCATGACCCATGTGTGCAGTGATGTGTCCACCACATGCCCCTTTCCCCCACTGCCAGATGCCAAGTAACTGCCACAGGGCACGAAAGCCTACCTGCAGCCACGCAGAGCTTGTGCTGTCCACAGCCCCTTCCGCCGACCTCTGACCCCCTCCAACCCCGCAGTGCCCCAGTTCTCAAGGGTCTGCACCGAGGCCGAGTTTGCCTGCCACAGTCACAATGAGTGCGTGGCCCTGGAGTATCGCTGTGACCGGAGGCCTGACTGCAGGGACATGTCTGATGAGCTCAATTGTGGTAAGGGACTGTCCAGGGGCAGAAGTGGCCTGCAGACGCCGGGCCAGGGCCAGGGCACACATGGGCCCCCAAGTCAATCTGCAGCTGTGAGGGTCTGGCACAGGCAGAGGGGTCTGAGGGAGGTGGTCAGGGACACAGGGAAGGGGATAATCGGGTCAGGGCTGGCAGCACCGGGTGTGGTGGGAGGTACGGGGAGGGCCTGGGGTGTGGGGGTGGGGTGAGGAGCCACCCTCTCTTGCCAATGCCAGGTGGGCTCTGTCCACAGAGGAGCCAGTCCCAGAGCTCAGCTCCATGCCACCCCCGCTGGTGGAGACATCACCTTTACTGCCCCGGCTGGAGACAATCACCACGGAGCGGTTTGCAGTCACTCTCGCTCCCCAGCCTCTGCTTCCCGGCGCCGGCAGGCCTGTTCCCTGTGGGCCTCACGAGGCTGCATGCCACAGTGGGCACTGCATTCCCAGAGACTATGTCTGTGATGGGCAGGACGACTGCAAGGACGGCAGTGATGAGCTGGATTGTGGTGAGGAGCAGGCGGGGTGCAGTGAGCTCAAGGGCAGGGGGAGTGGCCAGGGCAGGGCCACAGCTGAACCCTGCTCGGCCCACCCAGGCCCCACCCCGCCCTGTGAGCCCAACGAGTTCCCCTGTGGGAATGGACACTGTGCCCTCAAGCTGTGGCACTGCGATGGCGACTTTGACTGTGAGGACCGCACTGATGAGGCCAACTGCCGTGAGTGTCCCGGGTCCATGTGGCCCCTACCCATCCCTTCTCGGGCAGGTGTGTCTGCCCCCCCCTGGCCGAGTGTGAAGGCCCTGGGGGCCAACTTTAGTAGTTAGGGGTCTTAGCTGAAAGCCCTTCTCAGAGGCCTTTTCCAGGGAAAAGTCAAAGGAGGACCGAGTCCTTGTCGGCAGAGCACAGAAAACGTGAAAGCCGAAGGGCCTTGGGGCTCGCGGAGCACTGGGACAGACGCCTCTGCAGCAGTGTCAGTAGTGGGCTGCCTCCTGACCTCCTCTTTGTTCTGTGGCCTCCGCTCCCACCTTCTCCGTCCCTGTGCGTCTGTCTCAAGCTCAGTCTCCCTGAGGAAGAACAGTAACATCTGCTAGAGATGCCTATTGGGGCCCAGCCCTGGCATCAGGCCAACTCCAGGCCTCCGGCCAGTCCATAGGTTCTTGCTCCGGGTCAGGTGCCAGCCCTTGGCCTGTTAGAGGGGGTCAGACCTGCAAGGCCCAGGCTGTGGCAGGCCCCTAGCAAGGCCTTTCCAGTAGAGAACCACACCAGGTATTACCTGGCATCTAGACACACCAGCCACTTTACCTGTGCCTTTGACAAAGGTCTTGTGCCTCTGAGGGTGGCTGGGTGTGAGGGGAGTGGGGTCACTGTGACATGCCTGGTATAACTCTGTTTGGGGGAGCACAGGAGTGAGTGCTGGGGGCATGGTAATGTGATGAGCCTTTGAGGGCTGACTGCTGACCATGACATTGTGGCTAGTCTTGTGGCAGCAGTCTCTGGGCCTGGTCAGGGCAGCTGGGTGTCATGTGGTGAGATGGGAGAGTGACCCTGGGGATACCTGAAGAGTGTGGAGAGGGTGGGCTGTTTGAGGGTAGGTAGGTAATGGGGGCGTGCTCTCTGAGGACAGTGCCCCCCACTCACACCACCTGGCTCTGTTCTCTAGCTGCCAAGCGCCCCGAGGACGTGTGTGGGCCCACACAGTTCCGCTGCGTCTCCACAAACACCTGCATCCCAGCCAGCTTCCACTGTGATGAGGAGAGCGACTGTCCTGACCGCAGTGATGAGTTTGGCTGCAGTGAGCAGGGAGCTGGGGGAGAACTGGGGACCCCTTTCCTGTCTCTGCCCCTCCTTTCCTCCCCTCCCTTGAGCCATCCCCCACTCTTCCTTCCTTTGCCCCTCACAGCCCTCACCCCTGCTCTGGTCTCTCCAGTGCCCCCCCAGGTCGTGACCCCACCCCAAGAGGTGATCCAGGCTTCCCGGGGCCAGACAGTGACCTTCACCTGTGTGGCCATTGGCGTCCCCACCCCCATCATCAACTGGAGGCTCAATTGGGGCCACATCCCCTCTCATCCCAGGTATGGCCCTAGGCCTGGGTAGGACTGGGAAAGTAGAGGTGGCTGGGTCAGTGGCCCAGGCCTGACCCCACCTGTGTCTTGGGGCCCTGCAGGGTGACAGTGACCAGTGAGGGAGGCCGTGGCACGCTGACCATTCGTGACATGAAGGAAGCAGACCAGGGTGCTTACACCTGTGAGGCCATGAATGCCCGAGGCATGGTGTTCGGCATTCCTGATGGTGTCCTGGAGCTTATTCCACAGCGAGGTATGGCCAGCAGGTGGTGGGCTGGTGGGCACCCGGCATGGGGTGGAGCTGGGGCTGCCTGCTGGTTGGTGACCAGCTACAGCCCACTCCCATGCTGCCCAGCAGGGCCCTGTCCCGATGGCCATTTCTACCTGGAGCACAGCGCCGCCTGCCTGTCCTGCTTCTGCTTTGGTGTCACCAGCGTGTGCCAGAGCAGCCACCGCTTCCGGGAGCAGATCCGGCTGCGCTTTGACCAGCCCAATGACTTCAAGGGTACGTTGGTGGGTGGGAGGCAGTGGGGAGGAGGTGGGCACCAGGTTCCTGTGGGCTTAAAGAGAAGGCATTTTCAGGAGAGCAGCATGTACTGGGTAGATGAGACCACATTCAGGGAGGGACACAAAATTGCTGAAGGCATGCTGAGAAGAAAATCATTTCAAGGGAAAACAAGCGTTTTTAGGAAAAGCCAAATCCACACTTGATATTTGCCTACTTGAGGTTATGAGGAGGGTGGGCTCTGGAGCCAGATTCCTGGGTCAAATCCTGACTCACCTTTATGCCTGTGCACCCTTGGTCAAGGGTCTCTTGAGTCTCAGTTTCCTGGTCTACAAAAAGGGGTAAAATAACAACTACCTCCCAGGTTGTTGAAAGTACTTAACAGATTAATGTATGCAAATCACTTAGAACAGGGCTCAGTCCCTGGTAAAGGCCCAGTAAGTATTGCCTATGGTAACCATCATCATCGTCCTCGTCCTGAGACACCGAGAGACGCCAGTGTCCCCAGAGCACAAGAGCCGGGCTTTGGCATTTTAGTCCCAGCTGACCTCCCGCTGCACCAGTTACTGCCTGTGTGACTTTGGGCAAGTCTCTTGGCTTCTCTGGGCCCTTGTCCCCAAATATAAAGGCAAACAGCTGGACTCAGTTCTCGCTGGCTCAGAGAGGGAGAATGGTGTGGGCTCAGACATCAGCTCGACCTGGATTCAAGTCCCAGCTCCGTCGTTTACAGCTTGACATCAGGCAGCCCCCATCTCATCTCCTCCATTGCAGAGGATTAAATGCAAGGAGAGGGTGTAGCTCCCTACACACTCAGTTGGCATTGTGGCCTGACACACAGTCATGGGACAGCCAACAGTCCTTGCAAAGTCAGGACTATCTTTACTGTTATAAGATGAGGATTCTGAGGTCCTCTGAGAGACTGTGGGGCTTCCCTGGGGTCACATACCTGTTGAGAGGAGAGCTGGAACCTAGGCCTGTCTGATTGGAATCAGGATGGTCAGGGTTAGGGGATGCCAGGCTAGGCAGATGGCATACGCATAGACAGTGACCAGGATGGAGGGGGCCTGAAAACATCCCAGGAAGGGAAAGAGGAAGGCAGGCCTGGGACAGTGTAGTCTATTCTGGAGGGCTGTGCATGGTATTCTGCAGATGAGACACTGGACCACTCCGTGGTTACAGGGGTTACATTTAGGATCAAGGGGAGAAGCTATTGGAAGACAGAACTAGATTTAGTATATTCCTTATACTTTCTAAGAGTCAAACTGTCCAGAGCTGGGAGGACTGCCTTTGGAGGTAATGAGCTCCCATCCCTTTGCACTATCCCACATGGTAGTTACTAGCCATGTGTGGTTATTTAAATTTAAATTAATTAATTCAGTTCCTCAACCACATCAGCCACATTTTGAGAGCAAAGTGGCCTGTGGCTAGTGGCCACCATATTGGAGAGTGCAGAACACAGAACGTTTCCATCATCACAAAAATTTCTCTTGGGTGGTTTAGTGCTGCCCTAGAGATCTGGGAGGATGCTTTAAAAAGAATTCCTCTGTGTGTGTGTGTGTGTGTGTGTATGTGTGTGTGTGTGTGTGTGTGTGTGTGTGTGTGTGTGTGTGACTGTGTGTGCGTGTGTGTGTGTGCACGCATGTAGGAGACGGTTGGACTAGATGACCTGTCATGGTAACAGCAATAGCAGCTAACCAGCCAACAGCAATCCTAACTGCTAACCATTTTTTGAGCACTTCCTTTGTGCTGCACTGTGTTAAGCATTTTATATTAATTTGCTCATTTTATCTTCCCAATAACCCTATGAGGCAAGCCACTATTGCCTTTTTATGGGAAGGGAAACTGAAGCCTTTGCCCTGACTCACACATCTGTCGGGTGTTGGGACCACGACTTGGGCATCCATTCTTCAACCCCATGGAACTCTCAGGGTGGCCCACTGAGGGCTGTTGCACCCTGACAGTCCATGGGCCTTAGCAAGCAAAAGGTTCTGGTGCAAAGAATCCCCTCACCGTTTTTTGAGCCTTTGGTTCCCAAATGGTTCCCAGCTATCATTCTACAGCATAGGCTTTCCCCAGGGCATGTTCTGGGAAATGCTGCTTCCAAAACTTAGGGAGGAAAAAAAGCTTTTATTTTATTTTCTCTTACTGAGGGAGAGAGACTAAAGTTCTAAATCAAATTTCTCCCAGAACTTACCCACCGTTCTGGGTAACCACCCATCAAGGTGGGCATCTGGGGCAGGCAGGTACTGTGGCCTTCACCCTTCCCCATGCAACCCACAGGTGTCAATGTGACGATGCCTGCGCAGCCAGGCATGCCACCCCTGTCCTCCACCCAGCTGCAGATTGACACTGCGCTGCAGGAGTTTCAGCTGGTCGACCTGTCCCGACGTTTCCTGGTCCATGACTCTTTCTGGGCTCTGCCTGAGCAATTCCTGGGCAACAAGGTGAGGGGCCAGGCTGCCACCCTGGAAGGGGAAAGGGCCAAGCCCCTCCTCATATGCCCAGATACCTGGGCTCCACTCTCTCTGAAGTGATGGACAGCAGGGCAGACTCGACTCTGGATGAAGGGTGCTCAGCACAGCCCCCCATGGCAATGGCTCATTCATTCAGGGCAGGGTCTCTGCCTGCCATACCAGGAGGAATGTGGACTCAGACTTTGGAAAGGGCTCTAGGACCACTCCCGCACACGTGGGCTGGAGTGAGTGCAACTCCTCTGGCCTCTCTGGGCACTGCCTACACAGCATTATCCTACCCCACACACACACCAAACTGAGCACCCCAAAGGCAGAGCCCATGTCCCACCCATGTCTGCTTCCCTGAACCCAGCTCCATGCTAGGCACACAGCACCAGATACTCAGAGTGAGGGAGGAAGGGGATGCCTGGACACACTGTGGGCATCAAGAAGGCCCCCAGTGCTCTGCCCTAAGCTGCCGTGTCTCGGCCAGGTGGATTCCTACGGAGGGTCCCTGCACTACAAGGTGCGCTATGAGCTGTCACGGGGCACACTGGAGCCAGTGCAGCGGCCGGATGTGGTCCTCGTAGGCGCCGGATATCGCCTTCTCTCCCGGGGCCACACGCCCACCCAGCCCAGCACTGTGAACCAGCGCCAGGTCCAGTTCTCTGAGGTGTGTGGTGCCCGAGCCTTCAGGGCTGGGAGTGAATGGGGTGCGGGCCGGGCAGGCACTGACGAGTGACCCCACCACCACCTTGGTCCACACCCAGGAGCACTGGGTCCATGAGTCTGGCCAGCCAGTGCAGCGGGCAGACATGCTACAGGTGCTGCAGAGCCTGGAGGCCGTGCTCATCCAGACAGTGTACAATGCCAAGATGGCCAACGTGGGGCTGAGCGACATCGCCATGGATACCACTGTCACCTACGCCACCAGCCACGGCCGTGCCCACAGTGTGGAGGAGTGCAGGTGCCTGAGCTGGCAGGGCCGGGGACTACAGCAACCCCAGCAAGGACAGGGGAGGAACATCAGGGCCTCACCGTTCCTGTAGCCTCTCTCTTGGGTCCTGCCCCACAGGTGCCCCATCGGCTATTCTGGTTTGTCCTGCGAGAGCTGTGATGCCCACTTCACCCGGGTGCCTGGTGGGCCTTACCTGGGCACCTGCTCTGGCTGCAACTGCAATGGCCACGCCAGCTCCTGTGACCCTGTGTATGGCCACTGCCTGGTAAGTAGTGCCTGCTGGCACTTGGATTCTGGCTAGGGGCAGGGGCAAAGGCAGAGTGGGAAGTCCAGGCTGAGGTCTCCTTGTGCCCACAAGCTTAGCATGAGCCTCCACAGTGACCGCCATGTCTGCCAGACAAGCTATCGTGACTTCTGGATGCATTAATAGACATATACTGTCCAGGTAAGGGAGGCGACCACCCTTCTCTCCTCCATCCTGGTCAGAACAGTCCTGGAGGGTGTTGTGCGATGGATGGCTCTTAGCAGGGCAGTCCAAAGGGGAAGGAGCCTAGAAATCATATGTATTTCTTTGGGATAGTGGAGGTAGCTGGGATTGTGGAGCTGACAGAGAGAAGGCTCAAGCAGGGAAAACTAGTATCTCCAAATCCCCGAAGAGATGGGTGGGGGTAGAAGGAATGGGTTTCAGAGGGCAGAACTGCCTGGCCAGTGGGTGCAGATTGGAAAGGAGAGGCGGGTTCAGGTCAATGTAAAGCAGACATTTGAAGCCTTCTTTGGGACAGGCTGCCATGTGAAGGCATGGGTTCCCCCATCAGAATGCAGCTGGATGCTCCCCTGTCTGCAAAGCTGGGCAGTCAATCCGACACGATGGGGGAGGCTGAACCGGACAGCCTCAAAGGCCCACCCTCAAAGAGCCCAGCTGGTCCAGTGTGGCGCCGGGCCGGGAGCAGGGGCACTACTCTGTGGAGCCTGAGCCACTTGCTTTCCTCCCTCCCAGAATTGCCAGCACAACACGGAGGGGCCACAGTGCAACAAATGCAAGTCTGGCTTCTTTGGGGACGCCACAAAGGCCACAGCCACTGCCTGCCGGCCCTGCCCTTGCCCATACATCGATGCCTCCCGCAGGTCAGACCCAGCTCAGGCTAAGGCAGAAATGCTGGGGGAATGGGCAGTGCAGCAGGCTAAGGGCACAGTCTGGGCAGGGAGGTGGGAAATCTGGGCTCAAATCATAACTTGGTCACTAAATTTTTCTATGCCCCTTGACCTATCCGGGCCTCTTTCCTTTTCCATATAATGATCACATGAAGACCACCTGTCTTCCTAGTGTTGCTATAAGGTTGCTGATCCCCAAACAGGTAGACAGATACAACATCATACTCAGAGCCTACTGTGTCCATACGGACCACAGTCGTTTCCCAGGTGGGAGAGTAAGTAAGGGCTGGCCCATCATTTCAGCTTTGCCTCATGTCCTATCACTTGATGCCCATAGATTCTCAGATACCTGTTTCCTGGACACAGATGGCCAAGCCACATGTGATGCATGTGCCCCAGGCTACACGGGCCGCCGCTGTGAGAGGTGAGGGGGAGCTCTCAAGGGCTGGGAGAAGCAGGCTGTGCGGGGTGGGGGCACAGAAGTGCCGTTGACGACCCTCTCTCTCCCCCAGCTGTGCCCCTGGCTTTGAGGGCAACCCCATCCAGCCGGGTGGGAAGTGCAGACCTACCAGTGAGTATCGTAGCCACCACTCCCGGCACCTTCCTCGGCTGCCCACCAGGCCCCAAACCCCATGAGCCTTGGGGAGCTGCCCTACTCCGTCCCTGTCTGTTCAGACTGTGTCTAGCCCATTCCCAATACCACTTTGTGCCTCCAGACCAGGAGATTGTACGCTGTGATGAGCGAGGCAGCACAGGGAGCCCTGGGGAGGTCTGCCACTGTAAGGTATGCACACCCTCCCTACCCAACCTCGGCCATCTTGGGCCCTGGCACACAGCTGTGGGAGGAAGGAAGGAGGTTCCATTCTCTCCTTGGCTCCTTGGCTGGTGGGTGGGGGCCTAGCTGGATGCTGATGGGCCTGGCTGGCTAGTCTTCCCCACCGTGAGTGGCGGCCTGGTATTGGGAAGGAGCCCTGCCAGGGAGTCAGGCGACCTGGGTTCAAGTCCCGCATCCTCTGCCAGTCATTCTTTGTGTAACCATTGAATCTGTGTTGTAACTTCGCTTGTACGCCACTTGAATTCTCATGCGGACACAGTGAGGTCAGCATCAGCATCCCCAAGCTGCAGATGAGGTCGTGGAGGCTCGGGGGCATGGGAAATCATGTACCTTAGGAGTGGGAGGATCCAATGTCCCTGGGCAGATTTTGGGGCCAAGTGCTCCTCATCTGCAATCCCAGAGTGGCTTAGCCAGCTGAGTGACGTGGAGCCTCAGTCTCCTCGGGTAAAGCACGGAGATACCACATACCTCTCCAGGTACCAGAGAGTTACGTGAGGTGGTGGGTGAACAGAAACTAGCACGATGCATGAAACACTGCATATATAGGAGAAGTAACTATTGTAACCAAGTTGCTATATTTCAAATCTAAATTTCTTTGTGAGCCCTTTAGCAACCAAAGTGAAAAGGGTAAAATGATGGGTTGCATCAGCTCCCATTAAGAATTAGCCCCATTATTGTTCCCTGTGCTCTTCCTGTGGCTCTCCCTGGCCATGGGCATCGCCCTCTAGAATGTGGGCAGATTAGGCTGGAAGCTCCAGGCAGCCCCTGCTGTGGGCCATCCTGCAGCTCCCAGCTCTGTGCCCGCAGAACAACGTGGTAGGGCGCCTGTGCAATGAGTGTGTCGCCGGCTCTTTCCACCTGAGTGCCCGCAACCCCGACGGCTGCCTCAAGTGCTTCTGCATGGGTGTCAGTCGCCAGTGTACCAGCTCCTCCTGGAGCCGCGCCCAGGTACCTGCTTGAGGCGGGAACACGGCCCTGAGCTGGGGGACCATGTGCTGGTCCCAGGCCGCCGCCTCATCCTGGCCTTGTCACCCACTCCCAGGTGCTTGGGGCCTCCGAGGAGCCCACTCAGTTCAGCCTGACCAACGCCGCAGGCACCCACACCACCAGCCAGGGCATCTCCTCGCCCACGCCCGGGGAACTGGTCTTCTCCGCCTTCCACAGCCTTCTGCCTGGAGCCTACTTCTGGAGCCTCCCTTCACGCTTCCGAGGGGACAAGGTAGGCGGGGGGTGGGAAGAGAAAGGGCATGGCACAGGCAAAGGTTTGGAAACAGAAGTGTCCTGGTGCCTTTGGAGAGGACGTGGAAGAGGTGGGGGCAGTGGCAGGGCCCGCCTACGGGCACCTCAGCTGAGCACCCATCCACCCTGTATCCCAGGTGACCTCCTATGGAGGAGAGCTGCGCTTCACGGTGACGCAGCGGCCCCAGCCTGGCTCCACGCCCCTGCACGGGCAGCCATTGGTGGTCCTGCAGGGCAATGGCATCGTCTTGGAACATCGCACCTCCCAGGAGCCTAGCCCCAGCCAACCCAGCACCTTCACCGTGCCCTTCCGGGAGGTGAGCAAGACCCTCAGGAGCTTCCTCTCCCCCAGGGGTGTCAGCATCCCAGGAAGTCAGCAGTTGCAGCACATGCATCCTTTCCTTGGCAGCAAGCATGGCAGCGGCCTGACGGGCAGCCGGCCACTCGGGAGCATCTGCTGATGGCACTGGCGGACATCGACACCATCCTGATCCAGGCGTCCTACACCCAGCAGCCAGCCGAGAGCAGGTATCTGGGGCAGGGCAGGACGACGGAGGGGCTTGGGTTGGCAGGCAGCAGGGTGGGACGCAGTACAGCCAGACGCCGGCCCTACCACTTACAGCCTTTGTGGCCCCATCTGCAAAATGGAGATTATAACAGTGCCTCCATCACAGGACTTGTCTTAGGTTCCCTAGAAGCAAAGCCTAAGATGGGGACTGTGGTGCACACGGCTTACAAAGGAGAACCTGAGTTGGGAGGAGGCATGCAGGAAGGGTAAATGGCCGGAAGGCAAGGAAGCAGTTTTAGGTAAAGACTAGCCTCAGCTCCACGCCCCAGGGAGCTCTGCAGAGTCATCCTTCTTTGAGGCAAAGGCGCTTTTGTACCCTAGGTCATTCTGTCATTGGTCCCCCTGGGGGAGTGGGGTGATGTGACCTCTCTGGGTAAGGAAGGTTCATGCTCTGGAGAAAGTTGCTGGTATAAGCCATTCACCATAGCCCTCTCAACAACTGGCAGGGCAGATGCCCAGCCCGGGAGCTGGATGGGACCCCAGAGCATTACAACAGGGCTGTTGGGAGGATTAATGAAACAATCGTGTCTAGGACTCCAGGGATGCCTGGCACAGAATGAGTGCTCATTCATGCTGGGTCTTGGCTCTCCCAGGGTGTCTGGCATCAGCATGGATGTGGCTGTGCCTGAGGACACTGGCCAGGACCCTGCACTGGAAGTGGAACACTGTACCTGCCCACCTGGGTACCGTGGCCCATCCTGCCAGGTGAGCCCTGGGCCCAGCGTACCTCTCCAGCCAGCCCCCTGCATGGTGCTCCCTGGCTCCTCCGTTAGCTCTCCCCTCCTCCCCAGGCCCACCCCAGCCCTGCCACCCAGTGGTCCCTGCCCAGAATGGGCCCTGCCAAGGAAGACCCTCCCACTGCCACCTTCCTGCCCCCAGGACTGTGACACAGGCTACACACGCATGCCCAGTGGCCTCTACTTGGGCACCTGCGAACGCTGCAGCTGCCATGGCCATACAGAGGCCTGTGAACCCGAAACAGGTGCCTGCCAGGTAAGTCCCACCCTCCTTCCTTCCTAACCCAGGGATCTGTGGCCTCCAGGTGCCCAGCCTCAACTCACACTCTGCCCCTCCAGGGCTGCCATCACCACACAGAGGGCCCTCGGTGCGAGCAATGTCAGCCGGGATACTACGGGGACGCCCAGAGGGGGACACCTCAGGACTGCCAGCCATGCCCATGCTATGGAGCCCCTACCACTGGCCAGTGCGTCCAGTCCCTTCCTGTACCTGCCCTTTCCTGAAATGTCCATTGCCCCCTCCCAGGCCCTTCTCAGAGGCAGTGGTTAAATCCTGGCCTTACCGCTTCCTCAGTGTGTCACTTTGTATAAGATACACTTCCCTCTGGGCCTCAACTTCCCCATCTGTGAGGTGGGGATAATGATATACCCCACCTTGGCCCATCTTGTGAGAAGTGAATGAGAGGATGATACATCTGAACTCTCAGCACAGTGCCTGGCGCGTAGCTGGCACTCAGAGCACGTTAGTTCACTTGCCTGCCCTTCCTTGCCCTTCTCTCCTGGTCCTAAGGGAAGAGCTGACCTTCTAATAGGAAATTTGCCCCCCACATTCCCAGGGCCCTCCACACTTGCTTTCTGGACACAGATGGCCGTGCCACCTGTGATGCCTGCTCCCCAGGCCACAGCGGGCGTCACTGTGAGAGGTGAGATGGGTGGTGGTCAGGGTGGGAGTGTGCAGGAGGGGCTTCCCCTGGGCTCAGGCTGGGCCCAACTCCCCTGCCCAGGAGGGGCCAGAAGCCACCCACTCTCACACAGGCCTCCAGAAGACAATCAACTCCCCTCCCTGAGAACCCAGCTCTTTAGCTTGGCATTCAAGGCCCTCAGAGATCTGGGCTTGCACTTCGTCATCCCCAGCCCCTGACATCCCCTGCCCCCACCAAACCAGGGTCTTCTCAGAAAAGCCCTCATTCTCGCTGAAGGTCCTGAGTTTGAGGCTGATGATGCTTGCTCACTGGCTGTATGGCCTAAGGCAGGTTCCTGCTCTTCTCCCGTCTCCCCATCTGTGAAATGGATGCGTTATGTTGATTCGTTCCTTCCAGCACTGTGAGGTCACTGAGTCCAACACAGGAGCCCCCAGCAAGCCCTGAGCTCACAGCAGCCTCTCCAGGAGTCTGTGATTCTGCCTTCCCTTCACCCACTGCTTTCTCTCATGTAGGTGTGCCCCAGGTTACTACGGCAACCCCAGCCAGGGCCAGCCATGCCGAAGTGAGTAGTTGGGGAGGGCTCTGGGGTCCGGCTACCCAATCTCTCCCAGGGGAGGACCTAGTACAGACCCTTTGTTCCCCGTCCTTCGAGAACTTTGGGGCAGGTGACTTTACCTTTCTGAGTCTCAGTTTCTTTATCTGTAAAATGAGAATAGAAAAAGGCCCACCCACCCCAGAGGGCTTCTGTGAATGTGTATAATGCCTGCACGTGGTAGGTGTTCAGACATAAACGCTCTCTCTCTCTGTAGTGAGTTAGGTACCCAGAGGGTGGTGGAAATGGGTGTGCTTGGAGGCGGGTTCCAGCTGTGGCTTCCCTCCACCTCAGGAGACGGCCAGTTGCCAGAGCCGATCGGCTGTGGCTGCGACCCCCAGGGCAGCGTCAGCAGCCAATGTGACACAGCTGGTCAATGTCAGTGCAAGGTTAGTCCAAACCCCCTGCCTTCGGCAAGGCTCTGGACCACAGCCACAGTTGTTGCCAGGCCTTCCCTCTCACCATACCCTTGGGGCTAACCCTCTGCCCCACTTCCCTTCCCCAGAGATCCCATCTCTGCTCCACAGCTTGGAGACTGGTGGGAAATCAGGCAGCATCTGACGGGAGCTGGGGACCTAGGCATAGGGGTAGCAGGGGCTCCTCAGAACTGCCGGAAGTGGCCGGGAAGGCTGGCTTCAAAGGTTGCTGAGGTGCAAGAGACCCACTGAGCTCCCCGCACCCACCCTTCCCTCCATCCTCACAGGCCCAGGTAGAAGGCCTCACTTGCAGCAACTGCCAGCCCCACCACTTCCACCTGAGCGCCAACAACCCCGAAGGCTGCCTGCCCTGCTTCTGCATGGGTATCACCCAGCAGTGCGCCAGCTCCTCCTACACCCGCCACCTGGTAAGAGCCTGTACACTGACCCAGCCCCGGGGCCTGGGGCCTGCCTCGGCCTGGGGCATCGCTGGGGCAGGTCAGAAGCCTGGCCAAGCAGGGTCACCACTGCCTACGAGGACAACTATCTCCCCGTCCCATTATTGCCCATGTAAGCACAGATCCTAGCCACCCTCACTCCTACCCTAATACCCTCCCCGTGCCCCCAGTGTTGCTTATGTCAGCACTGAGCCAAACCCTCCTTCCCCCAAATGTCCCCATCCCCCCATTATTTATGTCCTAGCCCTGATCTCAGCAACCCCCTTTTACCAACCTTAATGCCCTCCCATGTCCCTGCCCCACCAAGGTACCAGCCCTAGTGCCCTGGCTGACACCCCGTCCTCCTTCTATTACCAGATATCCACCCACTTTGCCCCTGGGGACTTCCAAGGCTTTGCCCTGGTGAACCCACAGCGGAACAGCCGTCTGACAGGAGGCTTCACCATGGAACCCGTGCCCCAGGGGGCCCAGCTCTCTTTTGGCAACTTTGCCCACCTTGGCCATGAGTCCTTCTACTGGCAGCTGCCGGAAACTTACCAAGGAGACAAGGTGTGATGCTCGGTGGGGGCTGCAGGCCCTCCCCAGTCACCAGCTCTGAGCCAGGCCCCTGCCAAGCCCTGGGGCCACCGGGGCCTCAGACACATGTTGACCTCAGAGCACTCCGGGCCAACAGGAAGGTGTTGACCACATCATGGTTATGTGTATGCCTTTGGGGTCAGATAGGCCTTGGTGTAAACCCAGCTCTGCCACTTACCGCTGGCTGCCTTTCAATAAACCTCAGCTCCAGGGTGGCTGGAAGTATTAGAGATCATGCCTGCCATGGAATAAGTGCTTACCTATTAAGGATTATTAGCTTTCATGCAGCTAGTCAACAAACAGGTCCCAGGGCAAGACCCTGGACACACAAGGACATATGCAAGGTAGTTTGAATTTCATTCGTTTGCTCACTCAAAATCCTCTCATCTCTGCTGTTGCCTCTGTGCTTGGGGTGTTGGACATAGTAATAGTTCTTATCATAGGTCAAGTTCATCAAGCTCTTACCCTGTGCTCAGTGCTGTTCCAAGCACTTGTACATGTCATAAATCACAACTGCCTGGGCAGGGTCCTCCTACAGCCCTGATGCATGAGTGAGGACTCTAAGGCTAGAGAGCTCAGGTAAGCCTGAGCTCCCACAGCCAGGTGGCACCGGGGGGATTCAAACCAGGTCAGAGGCCATCCTTCAATACCACATGTGCCAGCGGTGAATGTTTCTTTGCTACTCAGAGTCACAGTCTAGTGGAAGGTGTTACAGGCACAGGGTTTTAGGGGCAGACTTCAGGGCAGCCTGCCCAGATGTGTTCCTTGAGTAGTCAAGGCCACCCAGTAACACCCAGGAAAAGCAGTTCTTGGTACAGGAGAACCCTGCTGGCTGAGACCTGTGCTTTAGTAAATGGGTGCCCATGCCCTGGGTCCCAGGGAGGCCAGGGACACTTAGGAGGGGTGGTTCTCAGGCTGCTCCGTCTCTGTTTCTTGGACAGAACCAAGTAGCCTAGTCTTCTCCCAGGTCTGACTGCCTTCTAGTTCCTCCTCCCTTCTCGAGTTCCTCCTCTTCTGGCCTCCCTGTCTGCCTCCCTCCTGCCTTATCCTGTGGCTCTCAGACCTCTCTCTGACTCCTTTTCCTGGCATTTCCCTGCACCCGACAGCAGGAGGCCTATTTTACACGGATGCGCCGGGCTCACCAGGTAGGCCCATGATCTGAGTGGTGTGAAGCTGTGACATGGCATGGTGTGTTCTTGGAAGCCCCAGCCCAGTGCCCAAAGCACTGTGGGTCTGCATGAACCCAGGTGGCACCCGATGGCGCCACAGTCAAGGCGCTATTGTGCCCAAGCCTTGGATACCAGGAGTTAGAGCCAGGAGGGGTATGTGCCTCCAACCTCATGTTAACCCTGTGTGCATATGTCCTCCCAGTGGCCTGGAATTAACCCCGTGTGCCACTTAGACTGCGGAGTTTGCATCTCTCTCCCCATTCAGTGTGAGCCTTTCTGGCCACCATATCCATGGGGAGAAAACACTCCTCAGGGCTCCAGCTCTGGGGCCCTGGGTGGTCTGAGCTGGCCTGTGCCCTCCACCCATCAGAACCGCACGTCCCTCTCAGAGGAGCAGTTGCGGGCAGCTGTGACAGCTAGAAGGATCCTGGGGCCCCCAGAGAGCAGGAGCCGGGCACAGCGGCTATCACAGGTAACCCAGGGCCTGGCCGGGATAGGCTGTGTCTGGGGCCCTGGGAAGGAGGCCTGAGAGTATAATCCAAGCAGGAGCCTTGAGCCGAGGCCCTGGCCTTCTTGAGCCATTTCCCCCCCATGCCAGGCTAGGCCCCGGCTTGATGTCCAGTCCACTCCAGTGTTGCCTTTGGGAGGCATTCCAGAGCTGTGGATGGCTTGGGCCGGCACCATGGGCACTCATGGAGCATAAGGCCCAAAGAGCAGCCTCCCTTACCACATATGCCTGTGGGCTTCCCTCCAGCCTCTCTAGCCTGAGCTGGACAGAGCTGTCTGCCCCTTTCTTCCCAGGGGTCACCTCCTATATGGGCTTCTTCCCATAGTCAGCTGGGCCCACCCCAGGATAGCCTCAGCAGGCTCATGAAGAAGGTAGCAAGAGGGCAGTGGAGACAAGGGTCAGAGCATCAGGCATTGGCACTTGTGAGCAGATAGCCTGGAAGCAGGTGGCTGGCTGAGCCTGGCATGGCCTGGTTGATGGCAAAGCCTCATGGGGTCCTTTCTGTCCTTCTCTGTTCCTTTCCTGTCCTCCCCCTCCTGGTCCCCAGGTGGATGAGGCCCAGAGGCGGATAGATGCTGAGATCTGGCAGCTGCTCTCCAGCTTTGCTGCCCACTCCCACCCCCCTCCGCAGGGGCTGTTGCCCCGCAGCCAGCCTGCAGCCGCTCTGACGGCAGACCCACATGCCTCCTCCTCCTCCCCCGTCTCCTCCCCCTCTGCTTCTCTGTCTTCCTCTGCACACTCCCAGGTATGTGTCAAGCTACTCGCCAAGGGACCCCCACTCATGTTTTCTAGACTTCAGTTGTTTCTGAACCAACTTCACAAATTCTGCCGTTACTGCACACTTCCTGAACTGTTATTTACTTTACCTTTTTCTTTAAGTCAGTCATACGCCAGCTCAGTTATCCTAGTGATACATTTTTAAATGCACATTAAAATAGCCACTGAATTTTAAAATGTTTTCTGGTGTGCCATGTGAGTCATTGTGGGGCCTGCAAAAGGCATGCACCAGATGTGAGGAGACCCCAACCCAAAGCATGCCCAGCAAGAGTCGTTGGGGGGCCCAGGTCCATGCAAGGGGGACAGGTTGTCCAAGGGCCAGGACCTGAGCTGTGGGGGTGGTACTTCCATCCGTCTGCCCTCCTGGGTACCCCTCAGGGTCTGGGTCTGCCCCATCAGGACCACTCTGCTCTCTGGCCCCCAGCCTGCTCCCTCCCTCTACTCTCACTCACCGCCTGTCCTTCTGTCCTAGTTCTCTCTCTCCTATGAAGGCTTCTCTCTGCTTCCCGAAAGCCTCTATTATTGGCAGCTGCCCCCAGCCTTCCTGGGGAACAAGGTAACAAGGAGTTGGGGGTGGGCAATGGGTGTCATTGAATCCTAAAATATCAGAGGGTCCTTTGTCAAAGCCCTTTGTGACCCATATGAGTAGACCAAGGCCCAGAGAGGGAAAGGGGCTTGCCTGGGGTCCCATGTTCAGGTCAAAGCAGGGCTGAGATTAAACCCAGCTTAGCTCTTACCCTCCACAGGCCACAGGTCCCTGGCAGAGGAGCTTTTACCTGGGAGATAAGACATCCCTTCTTTGGGCTCCTTCTACCCTCTCTCTAGGTCACTGACCTTGCTCTTAGCACTGTATTCATTCATTCATCCATTGATTCATTCAAGAAGCAGTCATTAAGTATTTACTGTGTGTTGTATTGTGTAGAGGCAGAACTCACTGTTAGTCTGACCATCATTCCTATCATCACTGGCATCATCATCCTTATTATTAACATTGGCATTAGTGTTAGCACTGGCTTTGCCTCCATCCTGTTCCGAAACAACAGAGAGTGCCTCTTTAGAGTATATACAATGTGCAAGAAAATAATACTCAGAGAAGCAGGCAAGTCTAGGCCAGGGGGAAATGAGGATAGGAAAGATGTGCTGAAGCCAAGGGTGGAACTGGGTGTAATTAGGTGTTGGCCAGCCTCGAGGCTGTAAGCTCAGCAGGCACCGTGCTGAGTTCAGTATTTTACACTGTGTTAATCCCATACTACCCTTCAAGGTAGATACTGTTTTTACTTCCATTTCCACATGAAGAAAGTAGGTCTCAGAGAGGTTAAGTGACTTGTCCAAGGCTGTCCAGCCAATAAAGCTAGATTTGAACTCTGGTCTTAGATTGCAGAGTCTTCCCATTAGCCACCCTGTTGTACACCACTGCCTCTTGGCCCTAGAGAGGGCAATGAACTTGCTAGTATCCAAAGCAAATAGGAAGCCAGTTTCATGGTTATCTGGTTGTGCCCCTAAATTCCTTACCTCACCGTGAGCTTGTGGAGGTCATCCTCAGGGCGCGTGTAGCACAGGGCTTGGTGTAGTCAGTAGGTGTTTAATAAATGCTCACCAACTGAATGAACACACAAATGAACAAATGGGCTGACCCAGGGTGATATTTATCTGAACATCTGCCCTGGTGGCAAAGGAAAGTTGTGAAGCCCTGTGAGGCCGAGCTGTGGCCTCGGATGCCCATGTGAAACCCCCCATGGCAAACAGAAGGGCTCTTCCAGTTGTGAGCAATAGGAAACCCAGGTCCAGTTGGCATGGCTACAACAGAGTCCCCAAGGATAGCTGCTGTCAGGCATGGCTGGATCCAGGGGCTCACTAGGACTTTATCTCAGTTGGCGTCATTCTCCAGCTTCCAGTCTGACTAGTAAAGGGTCTTTCTCTGTTCCAGTAGAAAGAACAGAAATGCCAGGTCCACGCTTTCATCCTTGGTGGAGTGGAGAGGGAGACGGGTGGGTTGGGCAGATTGGCCACACCTGGCTCATGTCTCCAGTAAAGAGGAGTAGGTGGGCCCCTCAGACCACATGGCCTGCATGTAGGACATAGTTTCCTTTCAAGGAAACCAGGGCAGCTGTTTGCATTAGGGGGGATTCTGAGCAAACAGGACCCACCTGCCTGGGATGTGAGGCCTCTGAGGGGCCACCTTCAACCCCACCCCCATGGCTGAGAACTTTTGAACCTTCTGCAACCTTCCCACCATAGTCACTGTCATTACCCCTTGCTTTATGGGAAGTTCCTTCAAGTGGAAAGGGAATCGGAGCTTGCTTGCTGGATTGTCAGGCAGTGGGAAATGGGGAACCCCGTAACACAGAAAAGAGGCTGGCTGCTCAGGTCACCTCCACCAGGTCTGAGACTTTGAAGGAGCCGAGAGGTGTCCTGTCTCCTTGGCAACTACAGGCCATGCACACCAGCTTCCGGTTGGGTAGAGGGGACAGCACAGGTATGAAATGTCCTCAAGAGGCTCTGCCCCCTCTCCTGGAGGGTCACCCACACCCCAGAGGAAGGCAGAGTCAGGCTGTGACCACAGGACTCTTTGCAGGTTGCGGCTTATGGTGGGAAGCTGCGATATACCCTCTCCTACACGGCAGGGGCACAGAGCAGCCCACTCTCCGACCCTGATGTCCAGATCACGGTGCGTGGAGGGTGCCATGCCAGGCAGCAGAAGGGGGAGGTGGAAGTTAGGGGACGCCTTCAGTGTTTGCAGTACTTTAGTCCAGTGCTCAGCTGACGTGGCGTGTGCCTAGGGGGTTAGGCCCATGCCTCCACTCTGCCATCTGATTGGGCACTACCCAGGCAGAGGCTCAGCTGCTGGGAGAAGGACGTAGTGGGCATATACCTGATTCCTTTAGGCACATGGGCTTGGGAGATTGGCAGTATGGGAGGGTGGGACTGGTGGGGGACCCCACTGTCCCCAAGAGCCCCTCAGTGCCCCTTCCAATCCCTCTGGTATCTCCCCAGGGCAACAACATCATGCTAGTGGCCTCCCAGCCGGTGCTTCAGGGCTCTGAGAGGAGGAGCTACCAGATTGTTTTCCGAGAGGTGAGCTGTACCTGGCCACCACGTCCGACCCTCTCCAACCCTCCACCCTGCTTTGGAGCCTGGCTTTGACACTGCGTACCCCTGCCTCTCACTTCCCTGTGCTCACCTCACATCCTTGGCCAGTGCCTGGAAGCAGGAGCTGGGGGCGGGGGGAAAAGGGGGCTGCTGCAGGAGCAGCACATGAGGCCCAGCACCTCTCACTGCGTTGGCTGTTGTTCCCACACCCAGGAATTCTGGCGCCGACCTGATGGGCAGCCGGCTACACGTGAGCACCTCCTGATGGCACTGGCTGACCTGGATGAGCTCTTGGTCCGGGCCACATTCTCCTCGATGCCACTGGCAGCCAGCATCAGTGCGGTCAGCCTGGAGGTTGCCCAGCCAGGGCCCTCAGAGGGGCCACGGGCCCTTGAGGTGGAGGAATGCCGCTGCCCCCCAGGCTATGTCGGCTTGTCCTGCCAGGTGAGTGTGGCTGGCCCAGACCCCTCTGTCCCAGCACAGCTGTGTCAACAGCTGGTCAACTGGCATTTCCATGGCCTGGGATTGCTGTCATAATTTTAAGGTATCCCGCAGTATCTTATTTATTTTTTGCAATGACCCTGAGAGATGTGTGATTATCCACTTTTAACAGATTTTAAAAAAACAGACAGTGAAAGGTGGGTGACTTACCCAAGGGCACACAGCTACACTCTCCAGAGGTTCAGACCCAGCTTGTGCTCTCGGGGCATCCACCTGACAATACAGAGACACAAATTTCTCTGGCCCAAAGCAGAGTGTGGAAATGCCTTAGGGAAGTGAACTACATGGAGCAAGCTTTGATTATAGGCAAGAGGGCAGAAGAAGCAGAAGCTCAAAAGGAAGTAGCCTGCGATGAAAATGGTCAGCCCTGAGAAGCTGCAGCAGGACGCTTTTTCTTCCTCAGGCCTGGAACAAGGCTGTGTGGTGGGGAATGGCAGGCTGCCGAGGCAGTGCTTCCAGCAGAGCCAGACCCCAGGAAAGTTTCTCTGTCGCTGGTGACTGAGATGGATGGGGCAAGGGGAGAGACAGGGAGTCCATTTGGAGGGAAGCGCAGTAGGGGTGGAACAGAGGACTGTCAGTGGCAGAGAATCCAGAAGCATCTGCAGGGTTCAGCTGGAGGCCGTGAACTCTGTGAGGGCAGGGCCTGAGAGGACTGTTCACCACCTAATCCCCAGGCCCACAGCAGGCTGCCAGTGACATTTGATGAGTGATTGTGGAACTGAAGAAGGAGGAATCCCTGGCACAGCCGAGACAGGGCTGCAATGCCAGGTGGGCGGCAGGAGGGTCAAGTATGGAGCAGCCAGCCCCCAGCCTCAGAAACTCCCAGCAGGAAGCCTGCATCTCTGCAGTTTTATATCCGTGCACCTTTGCTGTGGCCACAAGAACTTTCAAATCCAAATATAAGAATTTAACAGCCCTTGGTTATCAAATGTAACACATTTTGAAAGAGGACCCCTGGGGGAAACTGCATCCTACGTGCACACTTTTTGCAGTGAAGGAAAACAGATTTACAAACATCCCTTTGAAATGGTCAGAGAAGGGGGACCTGGAGAGATTTCAAAGAAGGGGTAGTGAATAGAAATTCATTGTCTCCAGAACCCATGATTCCTCACTTAGAATGTGTGATACATCCTTGGTTGTATGCGTGCTGCCTCCTTCACTTAGGGAATGCAGCCACGGTTGTAGATTTTCATGAGTTTGTTCCAAATTAAGATCCCTCAACCTCTCTTTTTCCAACTAGGGATTAAGTTTTTCAATAAAGACTCTGCCAGAAGAATTTTCAGGAACAAAGCCCTGGGGGTGAGGAAGGGTTCTCCATTTAGGAAGAACTATTATTTCAGTAAATTCCAAGTGGCTGCAGGAGACTCTACCCCAGCTCTGGAGTGTCGAGAAAGCAAAGATGAAGACAGGGAGGAAGGCTCCTGAGGGAGGCTGCTAGCGAGGAGGGCTGGACATGGGATCACCCCTCCAGAGCCTCCAGGGGTCTAGGTGCTGGAGCAGGGATGGAGGGAGTGGGTTCTGGGTCTGCTGGCTCCAGATGGGACTGAATTGGAGATGGAGAACAACCCTCCCCCCCCTGGCAGGACTGTGCCCCCGGCTACACGCGCACTGGGAGTGGGCTCTACCTTGGCCACTGTGAGCTGTGTGAATGCAACGGCCACTCAGACCTGTGCCACCCAGAGACTGGAGCCTGCTCGGTAAGATGCATGCAGGCCTGGATGGTATACCATCCAGGCTGGCTGTGAGATGGGGAGGGGTGGGCTTGGTAAGGTGGGCTTATGTCCAGGGCAAGGCTGTGGGGCACAGCCTCTGGGATAAAGCTCCTGGACCAGCAGGTCTGGTCACTGAGGGGCTGCAGGCATGGTGGGGTGGCCAGAGCTATGGAATAACAGAATAACTGAAAACTTCAGTTACTGCTGTTTTTTTTATCACCAAAGTGACACGTTCTCTATAGAAAAATCAAACTACAGATATAACCCAAAAAGAAAGTAAAAATTCCCCGTAATCCTATCACCTGGAAGCCATCACTGTCAACATTAGAGTATGGGGCTCCTTTGCTCTTTTTCTGGGCAAATATTTACACGCACTAATATGCCTTTTGTTTTGCAAAGAACCATCGCGTAATTGAGTTTGGTAATCAACTTTTTTTACTCCTAAGTTCATGAATAACTTTCCATATTGTTAAATACTTTTTCATACCTGACCTTTTCGAAGTGGCGTGTGTATAGCCCGCTGCAGTATGTGGTCAAGGAGTGGTTGACAGACCCACACACTAACCATGGAGCAAGGAACAGGCTGTGTTAATAAAACAAGCATGGACCTCTCTGGGAGAGAATATAAAACTCATGTGTTTCGTGAGGAAACATGTATTTTCAAAGCTGTGCCCCCACATACCAAGTTATATAGCTCCACTGTCCTCTGGTGTTACAGGAGTTTAGATAGGAAAATGTAAGAAATGCAGTCAACCCCACCCTTTTTGTTAGCTGTTTGCATGGATATTCTTTTTAATTTATCTAGTTCCCTGTTCATGGTTTGTTTCCAGCATTTAGCTTTTATAAACACTACTGAGATGAACATCCTGCAGTGAAATCTTTGTGCTCCTCCCCAATTATATGTTTAAGATAAGCTCACACTGGAATTTCCAGATCAAAGGAGTACAAAATTGTAGAGGTTTGGGTAGATTTTGCCAAATCGCGAGGGGCTGATGTCCTTGTGCCTCACAGCAATGCCAACACAACGCCGCTGGGGAGTTCTGTGAGCTGTGTGCGCCTGGCTACTATGGAGATGCCACAGCTGGGACACCTGAGGACTGCCAGCCGTGTGCCTGCCCACTGACCAACCCAGAGAACATGTGGGTGCCCTTGCCCAAGGCCCAGTGAGGAAGTCCCACTGGGGAGGGGAGGGCACTGCACTGGCTTTGGGGGCAGAAGCAGAGGGGGGAGAATGGTAAGTGGGTGTCCCATGGCCTGACCTTTGCCTCCCCTACCCCAGGTTCTCCCGCACCTGCGAGAGCCTGGGAGCTGGTGGGTACCGCTGCACGGCCTGCGAACCCGGCTACACCGGCCAATACTGTGAGCAGTAAGTATGCAAATAGGAGGGGGAACGGCAGGGGGCGTGTGAGACAGCTAAGTCAGAGTCCTGGATGGTCGGAAAAGTCTCTACCAGGATCATGTCCCTCCCCTGTGCAAAAGCTCTCCAAGACTCCCTGCTGCCCTGGGGCCAGCTCAAGCCCCTTAAGTAGTTGCATATTGTATATACTTTGGTATATGCTTATATATATATATATGTCTGTATATATAATATACTATATATATATATATGTATATACTTTGGTATATACTTATTACTCTTTGGTCTCATCCCACTTCCTACTCCCAGCTCTGTACTCTAGCTGGCTTTAACTTCTTGACTTCTTAATGATCAGGACTTTGATGTGTTGTTCCCTCTGTATGGAACATTCTTCACCCTCAAACCTTCCTCGCTAACTCCTATTTAGCCTTCAAGGCTCAGCTTCATTCACTCATTTTGCACATCGTTGTTGAACATCTACTGTCTGCCCTGCAGTGTGCCAAGGTGTTGTTGATAAAGTAGCAAACAAAGGAGATTCTGTCCCAGCCCTTCCGGAATCCACCCCCTAAAAGGGAGACAAGGCAGTGAGGAGCCACACAAATGTATCATTACCAACAGTGATAAGCCTGCTGATTCCCAGAGCTGGATTAGTGCCCCCCGCCCCCATGCCCTCACAGCCCCCGCACATGTCCCTCGTTCTCATTACATAGTTCCCGTGTCAGTTTCCCACAAAGTGAGTTCCATAAGGGCGGGGATTCCCTCGTGCTCACTGTGTACTCCCATAACCTACCATCAGAGTTTCTTAAACATTTGTTGAATGACTGTTTCCCTGGAGAGAAAAGGCCTACCACCCCCCGTTATGCAACCTGCTGATGCTCCCTTACACTCCCCTTTCTCAGAGCACTGAGGCCCTGTGCTGAGGCTTTTATTTGGCCTCTGAAGTCCCTCCAGAGCTCAGAGCCTCCTCACCCCATGCTGGGCAGCCCACTGGGCTCCTGGCTCCCCAAGTCCACCATGACGCATGGGTTCTCTAGGGCCTGACAGAGCTGGTCTCTGTTCCTCCTTACAGATGTGCCCCCGGTTATGTGGGTAACCCCAATGTGCAGAGGGGCCGGTGCCTGCTGCAGGGTAAGTGGACCATGGCCTTGGGTCAGGGTAATGGGTGAGGCAGGGAGCCTAGGGAATTTGGGAGATCTTCGGCCTGAGGGGCAGGGCCCAGGGTGGTGCACACCAGTCTTTTGGAGGGCAGAGATATCTGAGACAATGCCACATGCTGGGGACCTCCCTTCTGAATGGCCTCTGCTGTCACTCCCCCAGCAGCCAAAGCCCCACTGGTGGTCCAGGTGCAACCAGCTCGGAGCATAGTACCCCAGGGTGGCCCCCACTCCCTGCGGTGTCAGGTCAGTGGGAGCCCACCCCACTACTTCTACTGGTCTCGTGAGGATGGACGGCCTCTGCCCAGCAGCACCCATCAGCGACATCAAGGTACCCATGGCCTCAGGCCCCTCAGCCCCATGACCCAACCCAGGGAGAGGGGAGGCATAGGTCTGTCCCTGCCCTACTGGGGTCCAGTCCTCACACACAGGCCGGGGGCCGAGGGGGCACATGTGCACTGATGAGCTGCCATCTGCTCCCCACCAGGCTCCGAGCTGCACTTCCCCAGTGTCCAACCCTCAGATGCAGGAGTCTACATTTGCACCTGTCGTAATCTCCATCATGCCAATTCCAGCCGGGCAGAGCTGCTTGTCACTGGTGAGTCCTTCCGCCCCTGTCCCTAAGATGGCCTGTGCTGGGCTGGACTGCAGACTGGACACAGGCAGCTGGTCCCTTCACCTTCCAGAGGGGATGGTGGTTGTCTGGATGAGGGCACCGGCTGTGGAACTGGAGAGAGCTGATGGAGTCGAGACTGGTTTTAGAGGCAGAACTAGTGGGACTTGATTGTGGTCATTAAGGGAGAGAGAAGAGTCTAGGATCATGCCCAGAGGTCTAGACTCCAGCAGCTGGGCAAATGGGCTATCATTTCCTGAGATGAGAGAGGCTCAGTGGGGGGAGTCTTAGACTGGGCTGCCCCAACAGAGCGAGGGACAAGGATGTGCCTGCAAGGGGTTTATTTGGGAGGTGAAGTGAGACAGGAAGAGAAGGCGTATTACTGGGCATGTAACTGAGCAAGTTACCACAGTGAGCAGTTGTTTACTGTTGCTTAACTGTTTGTTGGAAACTGACAAACTTGAGTAAATCATTCACTAGGAGTCACCCTGCCCCAGGGCCAAGGGAACTGGGGTATATGTACACCAGCCCTGATCAGTCGTGATGGAGGCCTGTTCCAGGAGCATCATTCCATCCCACCTCATGGCCAGGCCCAGTGGTCTCCAGTGGCCTAAGAAAGCTTCATGCAAAAAGATGCAGCAGCTGTCAAGAGTCAGGCAGGCGGACTCTAAAGTGACATGGCGAGGGGACGTGGGTGGGGCACCATCAGCACCTGCTACAAACAGATCAGAGGGAATCACGACTTGTTAAAGTTTGAGATGTGTGCAGAAACAGCTACACAGACACATCAGGCAGGCATTTGGGTATGTGCGTCTGGAACCCAAGAAAGAAGCCCTGGCCAGGAAATGAGTTGGGGAGCTGTTGGCCTAGGAAAGGTGTTTAAAGCCATGGGGCAGGATGGAATTGCCCAGGGGGAGTGTGGCTTGAAGACAGAGCCCAGGGCAGAGCCCCAAGGAGCTCCAACTTGAACATGGCAAGTTGAAGAGTGAGGACAGTCCATGAGAGTGAGTGGGTGCTGCCAGTGAGCTGGGAGAGGGCAGGGGAGGTGGGCCATTGGGAGTCAGAAGGGAAAGGGCCTCCAGGAGAGAGGAGTTGGCCTCACCAGGGTCCCTGTGGAAGTCAGATACAAGAGAAACAACCCTTGGAGGTCATGCTTTGATAAGAGTAGTTTTCAATGGAAAGAATAGAAACCAAATGGGAGTGAGGGAATAAATCCATGGAAGGCAATAAGTGTAGACAGCAAGTGTAGACAACCCTTTCAAGAGTCTGGGCTCTCAAGTGAGGCCACTAAATGGAGCAATAGCCAGAAGGAGTGTGGGGTCAAGGGAGTGCTTTCAGAGATGGGAAATTCTAGAACACATTTGTCTGTGGAGGGGATGATCCTGTGCTGAGGGAGAGGTGAGACTGATGTAGCAAGAGAGTGCGCAGCCAAGAGAGGAAGCCCTTGGGAGGGCGCCTGGGAAGGTGTCCTGGTAGGGCTGCGGGTAGTGGGGGAAAGAGTCCCATCCTTTGGGGACTAGGAAGGAGGAAAGTAAGGGGATTTGAGAAAATGGGAAAATTCCTGACTAGTAGTTTCAATTTTCTCAAGTGTGAGTTGAAGCCATCAGCTATGAACATGGAAGCAGGGTTTGGGAGGGTGGAGAAGTTGGCAGGAGATGCGAAATTGTTTGGGAGGATAGAAGCTGGAACCAGGTGGAGAAAACCAGTTGGAGTGGAGAGTGAAACGTTAGGAACTTATTTGCAATCTGTGATCATGCACTGGGGCCAAGTGGACTCAGGGTGTGATGTTCCCCTGATTGCTGGGAGAAGGTGGGCGGTGGGTTTGGCCAGGATGAGGGAGGCAGACACCCGAGAGTGGAATGGAATCAAAGCTAGCCTGGGAAGGAAGTGACACCCAGAGGGATGATGGACAGAGAGAGGAAGTGGCCACAGGATAGGGGTCTGGCCAGCACCCAACCTACTGGGAGGCCTTCCGTCCCCACAGAGGCTCCAAGCAAGCCCATCACAGTGACAGTGGAGGAACAGCGAAGCCAGAGCGTGCGCCCTGGGGCCGATGTCACCTTCATCTGCACAGCCAAGAGCAAGGTAGGCAGAGCAGGGAGTGGGCATTGGGAGGATGTCTTGTGGGTTCTCTGAGCCCCATCCCTGATCTCCACCCCATCCCCTTTGCCCCACCTGCAGTCTCCTGCCTATACTCTGGTGTGGACCCGCCTGCACAATGGGAAACTGCCAGCCAGCGCCATGGACTTCAATGGCATCCTGACTATTCGCAATGTACAGCCAAGTGATGCAGGCACCTATGTGTGCACCGGCTCCAACATGTTCGCTATGGACCAGGGCACAGCCACTCTGCACGTGCAAGGTGCACCCTTCATTCCCTGACCACCCAGCCCTGGCCTCCCCCCATGCCCACCAGGATGACAACTGAGAAAATGGGAAATGTGCCAGGTCCTGGCCTAAACTCTGAAGAAACTGGAGAGAGGGACAAACAGGAGCTCTGCTCCCCTGCACTGCATGTTCTCATAAGGAGACAGTAGGCATGGAAACAAGTGAACAGACAACCTAATTATACATGGTGACGGGGGCTGGAATAGGAATAGAATGAAGGGAAAATAAGAAAGGAGGAAGGAGGAGGGACAGCTACTCTCCATGGGGTAGTCAGGGAGGGCCTCTCAGAGGAGGTGACATCTGAGCTGCGCTCTGAAGAAAGAGGTGTTCAACCACTTAAAGAGCCGGCAAAGAGTGTTCTTGGCAGAGGAAGGAGCATATGCAAAGGCCCTGAGGCAGGAACATGTTGATGTGTTTGAGGAATGGCAAGGCCAGTATGGCTGGAGCTGTGGGAGAGAGGCTGGGTGAAGAGCTTGAAGGTGTGGGCTCGGTGAGTGTGTAGATCATAGATCATGTGTACATGGTAGATCATAGCAGGCATTCACCTTTTATTCTAACAGCACTCGAAGCCAAGGACAGGCCTGCAGTGGGGAAGTGACAAGATCTCACTGACGGTTTAAAAGCCTTCTTTGGCTGCTCTGTGGACAAATGGCCATCGGGGCTAGAGTGGCAGCAAAAAGAGCAGCAAGGAGGCCATTGCGGTGGGTCAGAGGACACGCCCCACCCTGACCCTGTGTTCTTTCTCCTCCCCTGTCAGCCTCTGCCGCTCCAGCCGCCCCCATGGTCTCCATCCACCCGCCGCAGCTAACAGTGCAGCCTGGGCAGTTGGCCGAGTTCCGCTGTAGCGCCACGGGGAACCCCCCGCCCACCCTCGAGTGGACAGGTGACGCTGTGGCAGGAATGGCATTCAGGGCCAGGCTGTCCCACATGTGGAAGCCAGGGGCAGAACTCAAGGCTGTGGGGTCCACAGCCTCTTGGGGGGCCCAGCAATGGCAGTCCCACTGGGTGCTGAGCCCACTTCTCCCCATCAGGGGGCCCCGGTGGCCAGCTCCCTCAGAAGGCACAAATCCACGGCGGCATCCTCCGCCTGCCCGCTGTCCAGCTCTCGGATCAAGCCCAGTACCTGTGCCGTGCCCACAGCAGCGCCGGGCAGCATGTCGCTAGGGCTGTGCTCCATGTGCACGGTGAGAGGACAGGCCTGCAGGTGGGCACCAGGAGCTCATGGCATCCCGGAGGGGTGTCTCACAGAGCTCTGTCCACAGGGGGCAGCGGGCCCAGGGTCCAGGTGAGTCCAGAGAGGACCCAGGTGCACGAAGGCCGAACCGTCAGGCTGTACTGCAGGGCTGCAGGTGTGCCCAGCGCCACCATCAGCTGGAGGAAGGAAGGGGGCAGCCTCCCTCCGCAGGTGAGGAGATGGATTGGAGCCAGGCCCACAGGCCCAGCCATCCCAGCACTTGCCACCTGCCCCTCCCACCTTTACTTCCTCCCCATCTCCTGCTCTGGTTCCTTCACTTCCAAGATGGTGGCCTGCTCAGACATCCTGTCTGCTGCATCCTGGCCTCTCGCTTTGCTACCTGGCTCTGCCCTCCTGGGTGCCCCAGGGGACCCTAATTTGGCTGTGTGCTTGCCTCTACCTTTTGTGCCCCCTTGCTGGCTAGCCATTGCCAGGCTGCCTCGCCCCCCAGTGGCTGACCCTTCTTACTGTGTGGCAGGCCCGGTCTGAGCGCACAGACATCGCCACACTGCTCATCCCAGCCATCACAACTGCTGACGCTGGCTTCTACCTCTGCGTGGCCACCAGCCCTGCAGGCACTGCCCAGGCCCGGATCCAAGTGGTTGTCCTTCCAGGTGCGGGGCCTCTGGGGGCTGGAGGAGTGAGGAAGGCAAGCCAGGGCTCCCAGAGGCCCACTCGCTCCTCCTCTGTCCCAGCCTCAGGTGCCAGCTCCCCACCAGTCAGGATTGAGTCCTCATCACCTTCTGTGGCTGAAGGGCAGACACTGGATCTCAACTGTGTGGTGGCCGGGTCGGCCCAGGCCCAGGTCACGTGGTATAAGCGAGGGGGCAGCCTGCCTCCTCACTCCCAGGTATGAGGGTCTCTGAGCCTGTGGCAGTGAGTCTGGGGTGGTTCTGCGTGCACAGCCCCTCCCCCAGAGCAGGGCCAGCCCTTATTTCCCTCCCTCTTCAGCTTCCGGCATGGAGGGCTCAGAGTGAGGGCTTGGTGACTGACCTGCCGAGGCTCAGAGGGAGTGGGGACTACAGCCTCATCCCCGTGCTCCCATGCTTCTGCCCCCTCCTGGCCCAGGTGCATGGCTCCCGGCTGCGGCTCCCCCAGGTCTCACCAGCTGATTCTGGAGAATACGTGTGCCGAGTGCAGAATGAGTCTGGCCCCAAGGAGGCCTCCATCGTCGTCTCTGTCCTTCACAGCCCCGATTCAGGCCCCAGCTACTACACCCCAGGTAGGAGCCAGGTGGGGAAACCCTGGGATCTCCTTGCTGTCCCCAGGGAAGTGCCTGTGTACTCTTTGGTGACATTAGGACAGGCTTTGACCCTCCACTATCTGCTTGGGGAGATGAGGGGACTAAAGGTGGGGATAAAGTTGATCTGGCTTACCCGGGGCTCTGTGATGAGTGTGCTGTTTTCAGAATTCATTAGGAAGCAGTAGAGGCAGGATTGAACACTGAGTTGAGAGTCATACTGAGTTCAGATCTTGGCTCTGCCCCATATTAACCTGAACTGGTTATTTGACTTTTGGGAGCCTCGGTTTCCACATCTGTGAAATGGGGATAATACCACCACTATGTTGTGAGCGCATGGCACACTCTCTGTCAGAGGTGTTGTAGCATTATTGTCTGCAGCTGTTCACCTAGCCTGGGCACTAAAAGCCTCTGGTTCTCTGTAGGCCAGAACAGCTCATCAGAGATTTAGAAATCACGGTGGGGCAAATGGGCCTCAAACTCCAAGTTGGAGGTGGAGGAGGGACGGAGGGGTCTGGCTGGCCATGCTGAGGCAGAAGAACATAGTCCCAGCCCCAGAAGGCCTGCCATCCGTCCTCCCAAGCTAGGTCCTGGTCACCTCCCAGAGCCCTCTGCCCCAGGGCTACAGGACTAGGGCCCAGGAGCCCAGGACCCTGACCAGCCCGTGTGCCCTAGCTCCTGGTGGAGCCCCAGCTCCAGGCAGCTCCCAGCGCATCCGCATTGAGCCTTCATCCTCACATGTGGCTGAAGGGCAGACCCTGGATCTGAACTGCGTGGTACCTGGGCAGGCCCACGCCCAGGTCACATGGCACAGGCGTGGGGGCAGCCTCCCTGCCCAGCACCAGGTACAGCAGCCCCCCACCCACCAGGCAACCTGCTGGAGGGGTTGAGTAGGGGGACCCCGGCCCCCTCCTAACCCTCCCTGCTTGCACTCAGACCCATGGCTCACTGCTGCGACTGCACCAAGTGTCCCCAGCTGACTCAGGCGAGTACGTGTGCCGTGTAGTCCTTGACTCTGGGCCCCTGGAGACCTCAGTTCTGGTCACCATCAAGACCTCTGGCTCCAGTGCTGACTCCATACCTGGTGAGTAACTGCCAGTGACAGGGCAAGCTGCAGGAGGCTGAGAGCAGTCCCAGGTGCTGATCCTAGTGACACTTGTTACCTCCAGGGGCTGGGCAGGAAGCCCACACTGGAGCTGGCCTCTGTTTCTGCCTCCTCCTCTCTCCCAGCCTCAACTACCCTCCCCTCTACCACTTGCTTCCCTTCTGCAAGGTTCAGCCCTGGCCCAGCGGCCCCCCCAGGGTCCCTCAGCTGAGGACATCAAACCCAGGGCACCCGATGCCCAACATACGGGCCTGGCCTGAGAACAAGGCTGAAGTGGCCCCAAGGGGACAGCCATTGACCTCTCTTCTGGGAGCATCTACTACCCTCACTCCTTTCCCCACAGCCCCAGGACCCATCCCACCTGTCAGGATCGAAACCTCATCCCCCACAGTGGCCGAGGGGCAGACCCTGGATCTGAGCTGTGTGGTGGCAGGGCAGGCCCATGCCCAGGTCACGTGGTACAAGCGTGGAGGCAGCCTCCCCACCCGGCACCAGGTACACAGTGGCAGAAGGGTGGGAGGAGGCCAGCCAGGCCAAGCTATGGACAGTGGGTGGAGGGGCTGGTGGTTCCTAGCTCAGAGAAGCCGGGTAAGGAGCGTCTGTGGGCTCTGGGAAGCCCCCCTCTCATACTCCTCCCTGCCCATGGCTGCCCAGGTCCGTGGCTCCCGCCTGTACATCTTCCAGGCCTCACCAGCTGATGCAGGCGAGTACGTTTGCCGGGCCAGCAATGGTGTGGAGGCCTCCATCACAGTTAAAGTAACCAGGACCCAGGGGGCCAACTTCGCCTACCGTGAGTGGGGCCACCAGGCTGGGCTGGGACAGAGAAAGGGGACAGGCATGGCCAGCTACAGAGAACTGGAGTAATGGGTGACTATCTTCTCCCCTAGCTCCTGGTGGCACCCAGCCCATCCGCATTGAATCCTCCTCCTCCCACGTGGCCGAAGGGCAGACCCTGGATCTGAACTGCGTGGTGCCCGGGCAGGCCCATGCCCAGGTCACATGGCATAAGCGCGGGGGCAGCCTTCCCGTCCGGCACCAGGTACAGGACAAGAGGATGGACTAGCCAAGAAGGAGATGGGAGGGAGGCCCCTTGGTGGAGGTCAGGGATGAGGAGGGCTGGGAGGCTCCTTGAGACAGGGGAAGCCTTGAACCCCATCACACAGCTGTAGAGTGCCACGGTTTAGAGCCCAGACTCAAGGAGCAGCCAGCCAAGGTGTGAATGCCACCTCCACCACTGAGCTTGTGACCTTGGACAAGTTATTTAACCTCTCTGTGCCACAGTTGCAGCATCTGTAGAATGATAATAATGGTACCTACTTTAAAGAATTGTCTTAAGGATGAAGCGAATTAATATATGTATAAAGTGCTCAGAGCTCTGACTCATAGAAAGTGCTATGAGAGCTGTTATACCACAATACATTATCTATTATTACTGTATTTTATAGAATTTAGGATGTCACTGATTGCAAGATGCACCATTATTTTATGTACCTCTAAGAGGAAAAAAAGCTGCTATCTGTAATTGTAAGATTGATTACTGAAAGGAGAATTTCAGATTCAGAGAGGTTAAAGAATGTGTCTTAGAATGGCTGGACCATGGTATTAGTGTTTGACTCATTCTTCCTGGCTCCTTCTGGCCATTCCCCAGCCCTAAGCAAGACGCAGCTAATGGCCAGGCCTTGGGGGTTAGAGAGCCAGGCCGGGATGCAGGTTATAGGGGCAAGGGTCCTGGCGAGGGCCCCATCTGACCTCACCTCCATTCCACCAGACCCATGGCTCACTGCTGAGACTATACCAAGTGTCCCCAGTCGACTCGGGTGAATATGTGTGCCGCGTGGTGGGTGGTTCGGTGCCCCTGGAAGCCTCTGTCCTGGTCACCATAGAGCCTGCAGGCTCTGTGCCTGGTGAGTGGTGCTGTGGGAAAGCATGGCTAGGGACCCAGCAAGGGAGGCTCCCCATCCAGCAGTAGCAGGAGCCCATGAGACCAATAGCCCTCCTTTACCACACCCAGCTCTCCTCCCCTCCCATCTGGGACTGACCCTCTGCCTTTCTTCCCCAGCACTGGGTGTCACACCCCCAGTCCGGATTGAGTCATCGTCCTCCCATGTGGCTGAGGGGCAGACCCTGGATCTGAACTGCCTGGTTGCTGGGCAGGCCCATGCTCAGATCACATGGCACAGGCGCGGGGGCAGCCTCCCGGCTCAGCACCAGGTAGGAGGTGGGGAGCTGGGGAGCCCTGAAGGACCCCCGTTACGGTGGTAGAAGGGGCACAGCCTTTCATCCAGGCATATCTGAGCTCACATGCTGCTCTGCCACGTGACTTTATGCCAAGCATTTGACCTCTTTGATCCTCGTGTCTGTCGAATGAGCTCACACTGCCTACTTCACCTGCCCCAAGCACGTCACTAAATGCTGATCCCCACTTCCTCCCTCTGGACCCAGTCCTGACGCTGAGGCAGGGGAATTGAAGGGTTGTGAATGGTGCTTCTCCACAGAAGAGCCTCCCTTGAGCCTCAGCTGGCTGGGTCAAGCTGGGAGGGGGCCCAAGGAAGGGGGCAGGAGCGTGGGGTGGTCCCGGTGCCTGGCTCTGAGCTTGCCTCCCTGCTGCCCCTCCCAGGTGCATGGCTCAAGGCTGCGGTTGCCCCATGTGACTCCCGCCGACTCTGGGGAGTATGTGTGCCGTGTGGTCAGTGGCTCGGGCACCCAGGAAGCCTCAGTCCTCATCACGATCCAGCAGCGCCACGGTCCTCACAGTGCGTGTCTCAGGAATAACAGCAAATGGTGGGGGACTGCTAGGGCCACTTCACCCTCCATGGCTCCAGCACCTTGCCTCCCATCTCACCCCCCCAGCCCAGGGCGTGGTGTACCCTGTCCGCATCGAGTCCTCCTCAGCCTCCCTGGCCAATGGACATACTCTGGATCTCAACTGCTTAGTGGCCAGCCAAACCCCCCACACCATCACCTGGTATAAGCGTGGAGGCAGCCTACCCAGCCGACACCAGGTATGGAGCCAGCAGGCAGAGAAGGAAAAGCTAAGTGCACCAGCCCTGACAAGAATAAGGAAGGGCCCTCAGCACCTCCTCTGTGCTCATTCAGTCGTTCAACAACCATTGAGCACTCCTGCTGGAAGGGCCTTAGACCAGTGCTGAGAATATGGAGATAAATCCCACTGGCCTCAGGTGGATACTGTATTTTAACAGAACATTCTATGATTCTCTCACTTATTAATTTTCCTGAGAACCTGCTCCATGCCTAGCACTAAGGACTCCCAGTAGAATGGGACAGGTACCTGCCCTCAGGGACCTCACCAGCTAGAGGGCAAGGCAGATATGCCATATGACAGCAGGGCCCTGAGGCGTCACCAGGAGGGCCTCCCTGGGCTTTCTGCAGGGGTGGCGGTGCAAAGCTAGAGGACTGTCTTACCCAGCCCAGAGCCTCAGGAAGGCCACCGAGGGAGTTCTGAAGGAGGCTGGGGATGGGGAGGGGGGCCGGCCCAGGCAAGGCAGGGAAGCCCCCGGAGCAGGGGGGACAGCAGCAGTGCCTGAGGGGTGGGGGTGCTTTCCCCACCCATGGACACCTGTCTGCCCTAGATCGTGGGCTCCCGGCTGCGGATCCCCCAGGTGACACCAGCAGACTCTGGCGAGTACGTGTGTCATGTCAGTAACGGTGCTGGCTCCCAGGAGACCTCGCTCATTGTCACCATCCAGGGCAGCAGCTCCTCCCACGGTGAGTGCACAGGGTGGGGGTTCCAGGCCAGCGGGTGCCAAGGAGGCAGACACGTCCCAGGGCCATCACTGTTGTCAGACTTGGGCTATGTGGCCTGTTTCTCCCTGTCCCCAGTGTCCAGCGTGTCTCTACCAATCAGGATTGAGTCCTCGTCACCCACAGTGGTTGAAGGGCAGACCTTGGATCTGAACTGCATAGTCGCTGGGCAGCCCCAGGCCACCATCACGTGGTACAAGCGTGGGGGCAGCCTTCCCACCCGACACCAGGTACAGAGTGGATCCGTGGCTGTCCGGGGGAAAGCCCTGCCTCCTGGGGCGGGCTGTGCAGGGACAGCCCCCCAGGCAAAGACCCTGAAGCATGAGCTGGCAGGCCTGGGAGGAGGCTCGAGGCAGCCAGTGACCCCTCAGCCCCTTGCCTCCCCTCCACCTCCTTGCCCACATGCCCCACAGGCCCACGGCTCCCGCCTGCGGCTGCACCAGATGTCCATGGCAGACTCTGGAGAGTATGTTTGCCGGGCCAACAATAACATTGATGCCCAGGAGGCCTCCATCATGGTCTCGGTCTCCCCCCATGCTGACAGCCCTTCTGGTGAGTCTGATGAAGGCCCAGGATGGGACTGGGAGACACAGGTAGCAGTGCTCTCTGGGGAGAAGGAGCTCTGCAGTCAGAGCCCGTGGACAGGGGTGGCTGCCCAGTGCAAGGGCTCTGCAGAGGGATGCCTGGGTTCAAATCCTGCCTGCACCACTAAGGGACTTGAGTGAGTAACTCTCCTCCCTCAGCTTTATTTCTACATCACTGAAATGGGGATGTTGATCGTTCCAACCTCAGATTGCTGTCCCATACCATGGCCACTAGCTATTTGTGGCAATTACAATTAGTTAACATTTAAAATTCACATCCCACATTTCAAGTGCTTGATAGCCACACGCAGCTAGTAGCCACCACACTGGACAGTGCAGATGTAGAACATTTCCATCATCACAGAAAGTTTATGAATTTTGTGAGGGTTAATGAGTTAATACATGAAGTGCTTAGAACGCTTGCCTGGCACACTGTGAGTGCTTAGTGAGTGTTAACTATTACTACTACCTTGGGGATGGGGGTTTCTACGGCTGAGGCTCCCACCAGCCCAGCTGTTTCCAAATAAGACAATGGCCCAAGCCCCGACTTGCTGTTTCTGTGCCCTCCCGCCCCAGTGCCTGGCGGTGCTGTGCCCATCAGAATTGAATCATCATCTTCACATGTGGCTGAAGGGCAGACGCTGGATCTGAACTGTGTGGTCCCTGGACAGGCCCACGCCCAGGTCACATGGCATAAGCATGGGGGCAGCCTGCCCACTCACCACCAGGTACGGGAACTGGGGAGAGGAAATAGCAGGAGGGCTGCTAGATGACCCAGGCTGCTGACCCTCAAGCTCTGCCCAGGAAGGAGGCCTGGGTGCCCCCGGGGGTTGCAGTGCCTGCCTTGGTCAGGAGTCAGACCCTGGCTCCAGGCCTTCAGGGATCCCGGTTGCCATTTCACTCTGCTCCTCTGTCCCCCCATCCCATCGCTGCGCAGGTCCACGGCTCAAGGCTGCGGCTGCACCAGGTGTCCCCAGCTGACTCAGGCGAGTACGTGTGCCGCATAGTGAGCAGCTCTGGCCCCCTGGAGGCCTCAGTCCTGGTCACCATCGAGGCCTCTGGCTCTAGTGCTGTTCCTGTCCCAGGTGAGGGTCCCTCCAGTGGGGTTGGGAGGCTGGAGGAGGGAGGAAGGGAAGAGAGGCAGGCAGGCAGAGGTCAGGAACCAGGTGAAGTGGGGTTCACCTCGGGGGCCCACATGGGCTTTGGAGTCCAGCCTGTGTGGGCTTGAGTCCCAGCCCTCTGTGCACACTCTGAGGTGCTGCATAGGGCTTTCTCCTCTCTGTGGTCCACTTTCCCCATCTGTCATGCAGGGAGAGTGGAGCCCTTACAAGCATTACGTGAGTTCACTAGGGGATGGAATTGCACCTCTGGGGGTACATGAAGGTGCTTTGTGGTGGTGCCCTGATAAACAGTTGTATGTTAATAGTGGCGTATTAGGAAAAAAGCAGTGACATGGCAAACCTGTCATGATTTCATGGAAATAATTGCCTATAGTGGGCTAAGTATTTAAGGGTTTTTGTAGGTGAATCAATTGAAAGGGAAAGTAATTAATAACATAGCGAGCACATGGCTCCAGCCAACATCATGATAGTAGTTCATGGATGCTAATAAATGTGATAGATCACTTGTTGCTGGGCCCTGGTAGAGTTACATTTATTTTCATGATACCCTTTGAGGTAAGTGTGATTGCTCTCTCTATTTTACAGTTGGGGAGACCGAGACACAGAAAAGTGACATAGCTTTCCAAAGGTCACAGAATGAATAAGTGGCAGAGCTGGGTTTTGCACCTGGGCAAATAAGAACTGGAGTCTTGGTTCTTAGCCACACATTGCTCAAGTTTGAGAAACGTTAGTGATCAGTGTGGGGTTGCCTGGCTGCCAGTGGTGCTGAGAGCACAGGAGGAGCTGGTGGGGCTGTTGTCTGGGGCGGGGCTGGGAGAATGAGGCCCCTCTGCCCCTCGCAGCCTAGCCCGGCTGCTGCAGGCCTCAGAGATGGGAAGTAGGGGCATTGAGGAGGCGGGAGCTGAGGGCACAGGGGTGGGAGTCCCAGCTCACTGACCTCTTCCTGTGCCCCAGCCGTACCCATCCGCATTGAGACCTCTTCCTCCCACGTGGCCGAAGGGCAGACCCTGGATCTGAACTGCGTGGTGCCTGGACAGGCTCATGCCCAGATCACGTGGCACAGGCGTGGGGGCAGCCTCCCTGCCCGGCACCAGGTATGGAGGCTGGACAAAGTAGAATGTAGGCACTCCCCACCCCACCCCGTGCTAAGCAGTCCTGCCTAAATCAGCCTGTGAGGGAAGGTGGCCCCATCTGGAACTTTGGGAAAATTGCAGCATGAGATCACTGGGAATCAGAAGGTCAAGAACAGGCTGGGCATGGCAGGGCTAACACTGACTCCCCTAGCACCTTGGTACAGATTGGAAAAGGACACCTCTTACTCAAGACACTGGACTTCCACTTACCAGAAAAAGAAAAGTCATAATAAACATATCCGCAATGTCTAATGTCAAAGGAGGTCACCTTTAACAGGATACAGCCTACATAACTGTACATGACAGTCCTGGGGTAGTCCAGAGGGCTTGGGCATCGAAAGGCCTTGGCCACTGGGTGCCAGCTCCTTCTCCCCACTCTCACCTGACCCTCTCCAGGTCCACGGGCCCCTGCTGAGGCTGAACCAGGTGTCACCGGCTGACTCTGGCGAGTACTCATGCCACGTGACTGGCAGCACAGGCACCCTGGAGGCTTCTGTCATGGTCACAGTTGAGGCTTCCAGCCCAGGCCCCATTCCTGGTGAGTGACAACAGCAGGCGATTCTGGGGCACAGTTCGGGGAACGCCTTCCTGGCCTTATTCCTCCCTGCTCTCCGAGCAGGGTTCTGGCTGTCAGCTCCATGAAGGTCTGTCAACCCCTCCCTGCAACTGCTGGGTCTCATCACAGCCTCTTGGCCGCTAGGAAACAGAGACCCTTCTTAGGTCAATGGTGCTCAGCCATGTCAGTCACTCTCAAGCCATTGCACCTCTCTGAAGACCAGTTGGCATTCACTGGCCCCCCTTTGGCCCTGTCTTCACCCCCAGGGAGCCTCGCCTTTCTCACCCTCCCATTGTGCCCACAGCCCCAGGACTGGTGCAACCCATCTACATCGAGGCCTCCTCCTCCCATGTGGCTGAAGGACAGACCCTAGATCTGAACTGTGTGGTACCTGGGCAGGCCCATGCCCAGGTCACGTGGCACAAGCATGGGGGCAGCCTCCCTGCCCGGCACCAGGTACAGGGCCCAGGATGGGGAGGCCTCAGGACAGGCACTTTTCAAACTGCATTTGCCTTCTGGACGCCCAACCTCATGCAAACCCTGGCCTGCTTGCAGTCCCCAGAGCATAAAATGCTTCTGGGAGAAGAGTTCACCAGCCCAGGGTTTGAGAGACCTGGGTTTGTCTCTTGGCTGCTCAATCAATTTTCTGAACCACTTTCCTCCTCTGTAAAGTGGGTAGATTAGACTTATAGGATTCTGTGAGTGGAGCTTCCTCATCCCCATCAACTGGAACCGTGAGCTCCCGAGACCCAAGGGAGAACTAACTCTTGGGCACAGCCGGGCCTGTGGGTTTGCCCTGTACCCAGGGCTCTGGTCTGATGGCAGCTCCATCCTTGCTCCGACAGACCCATGGCTCCCGGCTGCGGCTCCACCAGGTGTCGCCTGCTGACTCGGGCAAGTATGTGTGCCGTGTGGCTGGCGGCGCAGGTCCTGAGCAGGAGGCCTCCTTCATGGTCACTGTCCCACCCAGTGCAGGGTCCTCGTACCGTGAGTGTGCCAGAAGCCATGGGCGGGGAGGAGGGGAGACCCTGGAGCTGAGCCACGGGGTCGAGCCAGACCAGCCCTGCTGAGCCCAGCCCTCTACCCACCTGGTCCCCCAGGACTTAGGAGCCCTGTCATCTCCATCGACCCTCCCAGCAGCACCGTGCAGCAGGGCCAGGATGCCAGCTTTAAGTGCCTCATCCATGACGGGGCAGCCCCCATCAGCCTTGAGTGGAAGACTCGGCACCAAGAGCTGGAGGGTGAGCCAGGCAGGTGGGGTGGGTCTGGAGGTAGGTGGGAACGCGTGGGGATCACGCCTGTGGGTGGGGCAGAGACCAAGGATGGCACCAAGCTCACTGTGTGACTCGGGGTAAGGCCCTGCCCTCTTGGGGCCTCAGTGTCCCCATCTAGATGGGGAGGAGGCTGGACCCAGGGGTCTCCAAGGACTCTGCTCAGCCATCTGTGACTGTGAGCTGGAACAGGGTCATCCGGGCGGACAGGGTCAGGGGCCTGGGACAGAAGCCACCTGCTGGCAGCACCAAGGCGGGAGGATGGGCCTTGCTGACGAGCCCTTTCCAACGCCAACCCCACAGACAATGTCCACATCAGTCCCAATGGCTCCATCATCACCATCGTGGGCACCCGGCCCAGCAACCATGGTGCCTACCGCTGCGTGGCCTCCAATGCCTACGGTGTGGCCCAGAGTGTCGTGACCCTCAATGTGCACGGTGAGGGGCTTAGTCCCCAGGGCTCTGCCATCCTGTTTCCAGCCCTGATTCTGAGCCCACTCCCCAGGCTTGAGTCCTCCCTCTGCTACTGCCTCCCTCTTGGGCATTCTCCCTCTCTGAGTCTTGACGTCAACATCAGTGCAGACTAGTGTCCACCTGGCAGTTACTGAGGAGGGGGCCGTGACAGTGCACATGGCCAGCAGAGCTCTGCATGTGTATCAGTGGTGTATTCCTCTGGGCAGGGCCCCCTACGGTGTCTGTGCTCCCGGAGGGCCCTGTGAGGGTGCCAGTGGGAAAGGCCATCACCCTGGAGTGTGTGAGTGCTGGGGAGCCACGCTCCTCTGCTCGCTGGACCCGGATCGGCACTCCCACCAACTTGGAACAGCAGATGTTTGGGCTCGTGGACAGCCACACGGTGCTGCAGGTGAGGCGCAGCTTCCCCCGTCCAGAGGCCAGTGCCACTCCATTCAGTGCCATTCCTTGAGAAAATGCTTTGAGGGAAGAGCGGTGGATGGGCAGATGGGTAATGAATGGGTGGAGAGGGAAGAGGAGGACGGGATGGGTATAGATGGTGGGTAGATTGAAAGATGTGCAGGAAGAAAGGAGGGTGGGAGAAGGGGGAAGGAAGAAAGAATAAATGAAAAGATGACCAGATGGGTGGATAGGTGAGTAGATGGGTGGGTAGATGGATGGATGGGTGGATGGATGGATGGATAGATGGATGGATGGGTGGGTGGATGGATGGATGGTGGGTAGGTGGGTGGGTGGG